GGGAGGAAAAGTGAAAGAGAGAATGAAACATCAATGTGAGACACATTGATTGGTTGCCTCCCACACAGACCCTGACCAGAGCTAGGGACCAAAGCTGCAACCCAGGTTCATGCCCTAGACCAGGAATCGAACCCGTGACCCTTCAGTGAGAGGGGCGATGCTCTACCCACTGGGAAATATCAGCCAGGCCTGTGGTTCTCCCACTTGGACCCAGGAGTACATTCTGGAAGGTCAACACTTCCCTCTTCCTCTGTGAAGGAGGGCAGCATTCCCCACTGTGTTCCCATAATGAGGTGCTATAGCACCTTTCCTTAACGCCTTCAGGTAAGAAGCTGAAGACTGCTATCCAAATTATTTAATTTAAATAAAGTTTAAATTTTTAAAATCTATTTTACTGATTTTTTACAGAGAGGAAGGGAGAGGGATAGAGAGCTAGAAACATCGATGAGAGAGAAATATCCATCAGCTGCCTCCCACACAGCTCCTACTGGGGATGTGCCCGCAACCAAGGCACATGCCCTTGACCTGGGACCCTTCAGTCCACAGACCGATGCTATATCCACTGAGCCAAACAAGTCAGGGGAAAGTTTAAATTTGTATGTAATTTTTAATGCAATAGGGCCTCTTAAGAGGATAGCCCTGTACCGGAAGGAGAGAAGCATGTCACAGAGCCTGGCTGCTGAAACTACACAGCGTGTCTCTGCGTTCCCTGGAGAGCGGACAGATTTAGCATCTCTGGTTCTGTGACAACTGCTTGGGTGCCTCCCGCTCCCCCACCCCCACCACCCACACAGTTAGCAATCCTCCTCTGAACTTGCTGTGGCTGCTGTGGTTCTTCTTCTCTGCTAGACCGGGAGCTTCCAAAGAGCTGGATCTCACTCACCTCTCTGTGCCTGCTGTCCAGAACGGTGCCTGGAGTTGATTAGGGACAAGTGTCCCTTCATTGGTCAAGAGAAGGAAGAGAGCACACCCTTGTCGAAAGAGCTGCAATTCCTCTTGCAGACGGCAGGTGGCAGGATAGGCTCAGCGCGCTGCTAGGCCCCGGGCTGCGTGCTGCAGCCTGACAATTGCTTTTGCCTCTGCAGATGCCCCCGTCAGCTCCGTGGCCCTCCGCCAGGCTGGAGGCTATGTCGCCACAGTTGGAACGAAGTTCTGCGCTGTGGACTGGGAAGATCAGTCAGCCAGCGTCCTGGCCACCATAGATGAAGACAAGAAAAACAATCGCTTCAATGATGGGAAGGTGGATCCCGCTGGGAGATACTTTGCTGGTATGGTTTATCTCTAGCACCTGCTTACTGAGCTTGGCCCAAAAGCACAGCACTGGATAAAGGTCTCACTGCGTTAGTGGTAACAGCGTCTTGGGTTCTTTTATTAACAGGACTCGTTTGTATCACTAAAAACAATAAATCCCATGAGAAAAACTTCAGATATTCTGTCAGCTTCTGTCCCTAACAGAGACTAAAATTTGTATGGTAATTTTTAAAAATATATTTTATTGATTTTTCACAGAGAGGAAAGGAAGGAAGAGGGAAAGAGAGCTAGAAACATCGATGAGAGAGAAACATCGATCTGCTGCCTTCTGCACACTCCCCACTGGGGATGTGCCCTTGATGGGAATCCAACCTGGGACCCTTCAGTCCGCAGATCGACGCTCTACCCACTGAGCAAAACCAGTCAGGGCTTTTTCCAATCTGTATTCTCTCTCTTAGTCAGATTCAAATAAATTTCTGTTGACAACATAATGTACGCCAACTCTTTCCTCTGTCATCTCTTTTCTTCAGTCAGGTCCATCCAGTGAATTATTTTAGCTCAGTTATTTTCTTTTTTCACTTCTAAAACTTTCATTTGATTATCCTTTATGTCTTCCATTTCTTTGCTGATATTTTCTATTTTGAGTTTTATTTCAAGACTGTTTACAAATTGCTCGTAAGAGCTGTGTTAATCTTCGTTAAATAATTCCAACATCTGTACCATGTTGCCTTCTGCGTCTGTTGCTTCTTTTCCTTTACAAGTTGAGATTTTCCTGCTTCTTTGTGTTGCCAAGTAATTTTGGACAGTGTCCTGGCCATTTTTACTATTACGTTATGAGATCCTGAGTCTTGTTTAAATTCTATAAAGAATGTTTATATGTGTGTTCTAGTAGGTAATCTGTATGTTTAGGCTCAGACCCTGGACCACACGTTCCAACCTGCTTTTTCTCAGGTGCCATTAGGCTTTGTCCCACATGCATGCCACTCAGTGGTCAGTCTGAGACTTAGAAGCCACAGCACCACTCTCAGTGTTTGGTATGCTCGCTGGAACCATATCCATGCCTGTGCAAGTAGCATATGAGTCCAGATCACAAACAGTTTTGTGGGGTTGCATTCCTGTGCAACATCCCCCTTCGCTCTCTCTGGGTACATTCCTGCTTGCTGGAGCTCTCCTTTCATTCCTCTAGCCTGAAACCACCCATACCTATGATTGTGCTCCCTCCAAGGTCAAATGGCAGGAGGACAGAGAGAGAGCAAACATACAAGCAACCATGTTGGGCTCTGCCCTTTGGGGGCTGTGACTTCACCAAGTGGAGCAGAATGTCCCCTTCCCTCAGAGATTTGGTTCCTGTAGTTTTCTGTTGCTGGACACACTCTACTGTTTGCTACCCTTGCTGCAGAATTGCCTGGGGACCGATGCGTGAGAGAATGGAGAAAAGGGAGTGGAAATTGCCAGAAGGAGAGGAGTAGGGGAGTTAGAAGATAAATGGTGGAGTCGCATGTAGTTTACCTGTTGGAAACGGCTAAGGCACTTTCCCCAAACCTGAATGGGATTGTTAGCTGCCAGACAGCTCAGGGCATTTTATTGCCTCCTGTTGGCCAAATACCTGAACAGCTGTAGACTATTCCCCAAACTGATAATGCTCTGTACCCTTTGAAACCTCACCCTTTGAAGCGTATATTTCCACCTTGTCTTGGGACAAATTGTGTTTAATAAAAGCACGGGTCCTTGGTCAAGGAGGAGAGTCTTCTAGCTCCTTCAGCTGGAAGCTCCTCTGACCCCCCAATGCCTTTCAAAACTATTTTTTGTCCTTGGACTCCTTTAAAAAAAAAAAAAAAAAATATATATATATATATATATATATATATATATATATATATATATATATATATATATATTATTGATTTTTTTACAGAGAGGAATAGAGAGGGATAGAGAGTTAGAAACATCGATGAAAGAGAATCATCATCCATCAGCTGCCTCCTGCACACCCCCTACTGGGGATGTGCCCACAACCAAGGTACATGCCCTCAACGGGAATCGAACCTGGGACCTTTCAGTCCGAAGGCTGAAGCTCTATCCACCGAGCCAAACCGGTTTTGGCCTTGGCCTCCTTCCTAATCATCTATGTGCAGCCCTTTCTCCAGGATGCTTTGTAAGGCTGGGGCAAGAAACCCAGCAACCAGGATATTTTTTGCTCCTCTGAACCTGTTTTCTTTTCTGATCCTGGAGCCACAACTAGAGGGTTTCTCTTGGATCTCTGTCCGCCCCACAGCACTCCCAAGTTCCAGGCTGTACTAAATTCAGTCGCAGGATGCTGGGGCATCCTGGAGGATAAAATGGAGAACTCAACACCAACTAAGTGGTACTGCAAATTCTGGTGCTCTTCTCTGAGCTTCCTCATCTTTACTTTCCTGAGTTCTCAAACAGCTATGCCTTGCATTTTCACCAAGTTGTATAGTTGTGCTCAGTGGGAGACAATGAGATTGGTGCGGATGGACTCCTTCTTATCTGGAACTAGGACCTGTGTAGTTTTGATCTGCACTACAAACAAGATAGTTATTTTTTATTTTCATATAAATATATTTTTTAAAATATTATATATATATATATATATATATATATATATATATATATATATATATATATAAAATTGATTTTTTACAAAGAAGAAGGGAGAGGGATAGAGAGTTAGAAACATTGATGAGAGAGAGACATCGACCAGCTGCCTCTTGCACACTCCCTACTAGGGATGTGCCAGCAACCAATGTACATGCCCTTGACTGAAATCGGACCTGGGACCTTTCAGTCCACAGGCTGACACTCTATCCACTGAGCCAAACCGGTTTCAGCTATTTTCATATATTTTTATGGATTTCAGAAAGCAAGGGAGAGGGAGACAGAGAAACATCAGTGATGAGAATCACTGTTCAGTTGCTTTCTGCACATCCCCTACTGGGGATTGAGCCTGCAGCATGGGTGTGGGCCCTGACCATGACCTTCTGGTTCAAAGGTCAATGTTCAACCACTAGGCCATTCCAGCTGGGTGATAATTGTCATTTTTAAAAAATATAGGACCCGGCCGAAGCCAGTTTGGCTCAGTGGTAGAGCGTCGGTCTGCGGACTGAAAGGTCCCGGGTTCGATTCCGGTCAAGAGCATGTACCTTGGTTGCAGGCACATCCCCGGTGGGGGACGTGCAGGAGACAGCTGGTCGATCTTTCTCTCTCATCAACGTTTCTAGCTCTCTATCTCTCTCCCTTTCTCTCTGTTAAAAATCAATAAAATATATTTTTAAAAAATAAAAATATAGGACCTGGATTGGGAATTAAACCTGATTGGGATTGAATAAATTCTTTGATTTAATCATGAGAAGGAACCCTGGTAAGAAAAGATAGTGCCACCATGGGCGAGATGCTGTGAGGCTGAGCTCAGCAGACTTTGGTTTTTGTAGGCACCATGGCTGAAGAGACAGCCCCAGGAGTTCTGGAGCGGCGCCAAGGGTCCCTGTACTGCCTCTTTCCTGACCACCATGTGGAAAAGTACTTTGACCAGGTGGACATCTCCAACGGCTTGGATTGGTCCCTGGACCGCAAGATCTTCTATTACATAGACAGCTTGTCCTACTCCGTGGATGCTTTTGACTATGACTTGCAGACAGGGAAGATCTGTATGTACTTTCTCTTTATTTTTTCTTAATACTGCTCATATTTTTTTTATATGTATATCATTAGTAAGCTGCCTGTCCCTCTACCCATGGGTAAAGATCCTTACTTTGTCAAATAGAGAGCTGTCCAATGATATCCCAGTATGGTAATGATTACACAGACTTGAAGATGATGCAGTCAAGCCGCAGACGGCATACTATGGATAGCTCTTTAATCCTCTTTCTTGCCACCATCGCTAGAAATAGGTTTACTGTAGAATGGATCCTCTTCTACCAGGAGGTGCCTAAAGGCAAATAATATACAGTGGAATGATTAAAAGAACAGAAAAATAGAGTTTAGTGTTAATATTTCTTTTTTAATATTTCTTATTTGTACTTCAGTTAACAAGAGGCAAGTGCTCAGAGACTAACAACCTTTCAAAATGGAAAGGAGCCCTGTCTGGGTGGCTCGGGTGGTTGGAGTGTCACCTTATACACCAAGAGGTTTCAGGTTTAATTCCCAGTCAGGGCACATACCTAGTTTGTGGGTTCGATCCCTGATTAGGAGCATATAAGAGCAACTGATCAATATTTCTCTCTCACATCAATGTTCCTCTCTCTATCTTATCTCTATCTCTATCTCTATCTCTATCTCTGTCTCTGTCTCTGTCTCTGTCTCTACCTCTACCTCTACCTCTACCTCTACCTCTATCTCTATCTCTATCTCTATCTCTATCTATCTCTATCTCTCTCTCCCTCTCTATCTAAAAATCAATACACATATATATCCTTGGGTGAGGATTTTCTTTTAATGGAAAAGTTTTATGTTTTTTTTTTTAAGTAGTTACAGATTGTTCAAGTCCATCAATGGGCTCTAAATGAGCCATAGTTGGAAACTGGGGAGAAGAATTTAGAAGGGATTACTTGAAACTGTTTCATGAAAGGTGCCAAACCACAAGAGCAAAACTAATAATTAAAAAATTACTTGAAAAATATCACAAGATTCTTGTGTAGATTTAATCAGAGGTGAAACATTCCAGTACAAATGTGTTGTCTTCAAATATTTAGTGCTCTTTTTATGACTTTTTTTTACCCATCTTACTTATGCATGGTTTTACTATTTTTTCCTTATGCCTCACTCTTATCACTGTAGTGTCCTGCATTTTGGAGTGTAAAGTTTCTCTGGATTTTGATGTTTTTTGGATACTCTGATTCCCCCATTTGAGGCCAGCTAGTTGATTTCAGAATACCCCTTCTTTCAGAAAGAAACTTCTAATATTTCATTTTGATAAGGTGATTATGAAGCATTAGTCAGGCAGAAACAGTACTCATACATTGTACTAGTTTTTGTGAATGAATGGTCACGTGGCACCTTGAGTTGTCTTCTAGATCTTGGGGTTAATCAAAGTAAGCATTTTTGTAAGTAAAACTACAAAGGTCTAACCACAGGCTGAAGTACAGGGTGCCCCCAAAAATGTATACACACTTTAACAGCTGATAGCTCCATTTTGTAAATGTAATGTATTTTATTTTATTTTTTTAATATGTATTTTATTGGTTTTTTACAGAGAGGAAGGGAGAGGAATAGAGAGTTAGAAACATCGATCAGCTGCCTCCTGCACGCCCTCTACCGGAGATGTGCCCGTAACCAAGGTACATACCCTTGACTGGACTCGAACCTGGGACTCTTCAGTCTGCAGGCTGGCACTCTATCCACTGAGCCAAACCAGTTAGGGCAATGAAATGTATTTTAATAAACACTGCCTTTATAATTATTAAAAACATGTGTATACATATTTTGGGACATCCTATATATCTGAGGTGGTCATGCAGGGGTTCAATTCAGTCAGCCTCAAAAATATCTATTGGTATTATATATATATATATATATATATATATATATATATATATATATATATATATATATATATATTCACACACACACACACACACACATACCTCCTACTGGGGATCAAGCTGGTAACCTGGGCGTGTGCCCTTGACTGGAATCAAGCCCAGGACTCTTCAGTCTGCAGGCCAATGCTCTGTCCATTGAGCCAAACTGGATAGGGCATAATGGTGTTTTATTAAGAAGTCTATTTCCTGCTTGGCTGGCATGGCTCAGTGGTTGAGCATTGACCCATGAGCCAGGAGGTCACAGTTTGATTCTCAGTCAAGGACACATACCTGGATTGGGGGCTCGATCCCCAGTAGGGGGTGTGCAGGAGGCAGCTGATCAATGATTATCTCTCGTCATTGATGTTTCTATCTCTCTCTCCCTCCCTCCCCCTTCCTCTCTGAAATCAATTTTTTAAAAAAGAATTCTGCTTTCTTTTTTCTCTCCTCTGAAAGCTTCTACAGACATGTCTGTACCCAAATTAGAGGATGAATCCACCCCAAATCCTTTGTTGAGGGGTACCCATCATATTTGTGGTCATTGTTTAGAGTTAGGAATCCTTTTGAACCATCCCACCTGTGGTTCCCATACACCAGAACCCAGATAAGCAAACATGATCAGTATTTATAATCACTTGATTGCTCATTGTTTGATGCTTAGTATTGAGTAGCTTGTTGTGTGTGTGTGTGTGTGTGTGTGTGTGTGTGTGTGTGTGTGTGTGCTTTTTTTCAAACCATAGCCAATCGCAGAAGTGTTTACAAGCTGGAGAAAGACGAACAAATCCCAGATGGAATGTGTATCGATGCTGAGGGGAAGCTCTGGGTGGCCTGTTACAATGGAGGAAGAGTGATTCGTTTAGATCCTGAGACAGGTAGGCTCACAGCACAATGGAAAATCCTCCTCATGTCTAGAAAACACCAGACACTAGGGACTGGAGAAAATTCATCATTAATGAAGTTAGACTGCAATATACAGGGTAGCCCCCAAAATGAATACACACTATAACAACTGATAGCTCAACTTTTAAAAATATATTTATTCATTTCAGAAAGGGAGTGAAAGAGAAATGGAAACATCAATGATGAGAGAGAATCATTGGTTGGCTGCCTCCTGCACACCCCTACCGGGGATCGAGCCTGCAACCCGGGTATGTGCCCTTGACCAGAATCGAACCTGGGACCCTTCAGTCTGCAGGCCAATGTTCTATCCACTGAGCAAAACGAGCTAGGGTCTGATAGCTCTATTTTGAAAATAAAATATATTTTAATAAGCACTGCCTTGAGAATTATTCAAAGTGTGTGTATACATTTGGGGGGGGATACCCTATATTCAAAGATGTCCATTGGATGATTTTAGACATAAAGTCCAAATATATAGCCCCAAATTTATGGTCAGAATTCTTTTCTTGTGCAGATAAGTCTTTTTGCCCAAAACAAATAAATTGTCAGGGAAGGTAGGTGCAATGCATGGCTGAAACGTGACCTCCACCACCTTCTTTAAACTCTTCCATTACTCTGTAAAGGGTCCTGAAAGCTTTTGCAGGTTGGGAATTTGCTAGAAGTAGACTTTAAATACAATATTTGGTGATCCAGGGAAAAGACTCCAAACTGTGAAGCTGCCTGTCGATAAAACAACCTCGTGTTGCTTTGGAGGGAAGGATTACTCTGAAATGTACGTGACCTGTGCCCGGGAAGGAATAGACCCTGAGGGTCTTCTGCGGCAACCGGAAGCTGGTGGAATTTTCAAGGTGATCTGGCTATTTCTTTTCCTTAAGGATGAGGTGGGAGATCCTCAGTTAAGTATCATCAAGTGATCGGTGCTTTTTCATACTTCCAAGACACAGTTCCAGTTAGCATTTTAAGCTCATCATGCTACACTGGAAAACATTATTCTTAGACTTTCTAGACTGAAAGTTATCTGAAGTCCAGGACAATATTTTTAGACTCCTTTTACAGTCCTTAAAAAATAATTTTTACTTCAGTAGTGTTTGCTGAAATTCTGTAAATCAGTAGAATGGGCTTGGACAACCAGTATTTGAAACATGTTTATAAGATCAGTTGGTTGGCTCGGCCAGCGTGGCTCAATGGTTGAACATCAACCTATGAACCAGGGGGTCATGGCTGAATTCCCAGTATGATTCAGGATTTGATTCCCAGTCAGGGCACAGGCCCTCAGGGCACATTCCCAGGTTATGGGTTCAATCCCCATTGGGGGGGGGGGGCATGCAGGAGGCAGCCAATCAATGATTCTCTCATATCATTGATATTTCTATCTCTCCTTCTCCCTTCCTCTCTGAAATCAATAAAAATATATAATGAATGAATGAATGAATAAGATTAGTTGATTGTTTTGATGTCACAAGAATATTTTCATATTTTTAACTTTTTTGCAACAAAACAAATACTGATTTAAAAAAAAAGTATAGACCTTTTGAGCTGAAATTTAGAAATCATTTGGCTCAAATCCCTTTCTTAATAGCTGTGAAATGATAGAAATAAATTCAGCTTTAAATCCCAGTTAGTTGTAAATGGTTGCTAGTTAGATTATTATCTATGTGGAAAATTGGGTTCGATCATAAGTACCTAATCAAGTCATTCCTTTTTGTGTTAGGGAATAAAATAAGAGGTGGTTAAATATATAATGCAAATCATAAAAGTGCTTTTGAAAAAATACCTATGGATTACTTTTTTATCACAGATTCTCTCTTTTTTTAACAGATAACTGGCCTGGGGGTCAAAGGCATTCCTCCCCGGCCTTACATAGGCTGACTGACAGGCCTTTCCTACTGTTGCTGACAGCTAGAAAATTCTGGAGCTGACTTTTCAATCTAGTTACCAAAAACTGAAGCAATGATGTTATAACAGAATTATATGTTCATTTACTCTCTTTTAAATGTAGAGATTTTTAACAAGGAGTGGCAGGTGGGTTTGATAACATACTAGACGGCCTTCTGCAAAGGTACAATAAAAATGTCAAGAATTGTTCAACTGTCAACCAGCCTCTTGATCCTTTACAAATTGCTGATGGACAGCGGCAGAGGGAAGAGACTGTACCTGTTCTTTATTCTGCATTTCACACTATACTGAAAGCTTCAAGCTAATAAAAAGCAATCTGGTAAAGATTTACTGTAATTATGTTCCTTTTTATTTTCATCATAATCTTATAAAATGTGCTGCAATGGTAACCTACCTTCATCTTACTCTTCCTATATGTTATTTTAAAAATAAAATATTGTGCCCTAACCGGTTTGGCTCAGTGGATAGAGCGTAGGCCTGCAGATTGAAAGGTCCTGGGTTCGATTCCGGTCAAGGGCATGTACATTGGTTGCGGGCACATCCCCAGTGAGGGTTGTGCAGGAGGCAGCTGATCGATGTTTCTCTCTCATTGATGTTTCTAACTCTTTATCCCTCTTTCTTCCTCTCTGTAAAAAAAAAATCTATAAAATATATTGAAAATAATAATAAGATAAAAAATAAAATATTGCTAGAGGATCTGAATTAAACATTTTGACAACATCTATGGTTCCAACTGCCACCTAGTAGGTATAAAAGTAATATTTTACTTTGGAAAGAATATTTTTAAATAGCTTTATTGAGTTATAAGTGACCTACACATACTTAAAGTACACAATTTGATAAGTTTGTTTCCACCAGCAAGATAATGAATCTATCCATTACCCCAAGACTTTCCCTGTATCCCTTTGTAATCCTTTCCCTCTGTATGCCTGCTCCCACCTCCAGGAAATCACTGATCTGATCTGATCTATATCACTATACATTAGCCTTAAAATTTCTTTTATTTGTTCTTTTAAAAATGTTTTAGATATTTTAGTTCTTTTAGCATCCCATATAAATTTTAGGATCAGCTTGACTCTATCTGCAAAAAATTCTGCTGCAATTTTAATTGAAATTGCTTTAAATCTGTAGAATAATTTGGAGAGAATTGGCATCTTTACTATTTTGAATCTTCTAATCCAAGGAACACAGCGTGTCTTCCTAATGATTTATTCTTCTTTGATTTTTTTTTAGTTGTAGTTGACATACATTCTTCAATTTCTTTCATCAGCATTTTGTAAGTTCCAGCATGCAGATCTTAGATGTGTTTTGTTAGATTTATATCCAACTATTTCATTATTTGGAGCTATTATAGTTAGGATTATTTAAAAATTGTTTGTTTCCAATTGTTCATTCAAAGTATGATTGGTGTCTGTAGATTGACCTAGTATCTGACTTTGCTAAACTCATTAGTTATAAGAGTATTTCTGTAGCTTCTCTGGAATTCTTTGGATCTATAAATATGTCTTCTATGAATAAAGACAGCTATATTTCTTCCTTTACAATTTGCATATTTGTATTTCTTTCTCTTGCCCTATTGCACTCTGTTAGTGCTGTGTTGAATGGGAATAGTAAAAGTAGATATTCTTGCCTTGTTCCTAGTCTTTCTCCATTAAATATGATGTTAGCTGTAAGTCTGTTTGGAGATGCCCTTTCTCAGGTTGAGAAAGTTCTCTGGTTTGTGAGGGGTTCCTTTACATTATTGTTTTGGATATATTTTAAATACTTTTTTCTTTATTGATATGGTTTTGTGGTTTTTCTTCTTTAGGTGTTATTATGATAGATTTGTGCATTCCTGGAATAAAACCCCCTTGGTGATAGTATATTAGTCTTTTTATATATTGCTGGATTCAAACTTCTAACATTTTTGTTGAGGGTTTTTGCATCTATGTTTATTAGAGATAATGGTGTCTAGTTTTCTTTATTTCTACCATCTTTTGTATTAATATCAATATAATATGAGTTAGGAAGTATTTCCTCCTCTTCTGTTCTATGGAAAAGAAATGCTGAGCTTGAGAAAGTCAGCCTGCTCCTTGTCCTAGAGGGAAGCATTATCTCATTCCTTAAGGTTGCTTGCTGTCCATACAACCCTGAGAAATGGCCAAGGTGATGTAGGGTGAGGGCTATGTATTCTTAGCCAGAAAGTAGTCTAAGGCCAGGCTATTATACTGCAACCCACACAAAATAATCTAGACTGACTTGCAGTAAGTATTTGGTGTCACTGTCAATAATGACAAGAGGGCAATATGTGGGTCCAAAAACAACCCCTTCCCCAATGGAGACATTTTGTTCATCACTCTTTCCCCATATATAGATATGTAATCCAAAGGGACATGATTCACTTAATTTCAGAATTTGTTGTTCAACTTGACTAGGATCATCATTCCATTGGTTTGGTTAAATCCCATGGGTGGTTTCAGCCAAGGCTTGTAGCCCAATTGCTAAACATGGCATAATCCGAGGCCACTCAGGTATCAGGAGAAGCAGATGTGTTTGTATCAGTCAGATCTAAACAAGATCATGCTGGCCCATGTGTTTGTATAGGCAAGAGGGAGGGCCGTGTTCAGGAGCTGACATGGATGGCATCAGGCACACCAGAATATGTCTGGCTACGTTCACATGGGTTTTTCTCTGGTTTTCATGCCAAGGAAGTGATGACCAACCTGCACCTGCTGCTTGACTCTGGGAGATCATATGATTCTTTTATCAGGTGTAGTGCTCAATCTAGGGGACAAAGAGCATTAACCCTCTTCCCATCTTGCACCTCTCAAGGTTTTAAGGCGTTCTTGCCCCAAGTACGTTCTGTCCATTGCCATGTAATTGTTCTGTTTCATCCCAATGCCTATAACTTCACTTTTATCTGATCATCCAGAAAGGTCAACTGCCAGAGGATCAAAGATACTTTTATAAACTTTACAGATTTTTTTATGTCTTCTATTTTGGTCAGTGTGGACCAAAATAGAAGACATAAAGAGAACTCAGTGAACAACTTATTCAGCCAAGTGGTCGTTGTCTTCATGATCAAAGACTGTGTCCATCCAACAAGAGAAGTCTTGCTCCAAGCCTCACTTGACGGTAACCCTATGAACTAGGACCATGTCCATCCAGAAAGAGAATGTAGGTGACTGAGCCACAATTCAATTTAAATCCCCTAAGCCCCTTTTGAGCTGAGTTGTCACCTGGAGGTTACAAACCAGGCTGACCTGGGATTGCTGTGAGGGGAAGGAAAGATACATCATGTCCAAAAATGGGCTGAATCCTGAATTTTCAAAATAGGTCTCTATAATCCACCCTCTTTGTCCTGATCTTTATCCAGGAGGCGACCCCTTTTCGGGGACAGCCACATTCCGTGATCAAATTGCCTTACTATGGTATATGGATCAGGAGGAGGTGAGAGAGGTAGAGTCTGAAATCCTTTTTATTCCATTTTGTAGAAAGCTGTTTAACGTTCAACAATATTAGATATCTGCTGATGGTAGAGAGCTGCAATGTCTACCAAATACTTTGACTATTGGCCTGTTTTTGGGTACACCACGGTCAGACTGCATCCTATCTAATAAAGAGGGAATGTGCTAATTGATTGTCACACCCTCACAAAGATGGTGGCACCCATAGCCAATAAGGAGGGAATATGCTAATTGACTGCCATGCCCTCAAAGATGGTGATGCCCAGTCCCCTCAGCCCCGCTGGGGTGCCAGGCACATGGCACAGCCGGGCCTGCCCCAGGTGGGTCTGGCCACTCTGTGCACCTGCCTCTGGAGTCCCCCAGTTTCCTCAGCCCCCCAGCTGCCTAGGGCTGGCCCAAAGCGCAGGCAAGCCTCGGATAGTGGCTGCCTAGCTGCCCAAGGCTCAGATAACCAGGGCTGGCCAAGGCTTGCGCTGCTGGCAGTGGCAGCAGCAGAGGTGTGATGGGGGCATTACCTCTCCCTAATCGCCAGGTCACCTCCCACCCCTGAGGGCTCCCAGACTGTGAGAGGGGGCAAGCTGGGCTGAGGTAACCCCCCTCCAGTACATGAATTTTCACACACCGGGCCTCTAGTTAAAAACATGAGTCTTTTACAGTATCCAGTCTTTGATAGTGGATGCATTGCCATGTCCAGGATGCAAAGGCAGTTGGCTCCATCAGCAGCTGAATTCCAGATGGTCTCATGGGAGAGCAGGCCCTTGCTATGGGCATCTACATGAGTCACCCAAAGTGACAACTACTAACCATCTATTACTGACCACCACAGACCCCCATCATTGTCCCCAGAAACCCCATCACTCTTGCCAGAAACCCTCTGTCAAAGTCTCTCAGGTCCCCAAACCTCAAATCAAGTTCCAATTTGTTGTCAACTGCCGTAAAGCTGCTTCTGAGAACCCCTTCTATTCCTGGTCCCACTCCTAAGATCACCTTTCTAAGGGGCTGCTGTTTTTTGAGAGATGCATTAAGTTTCTGTCCAGCATGAGAAAGTTAAATTGCTCCAAATTTGTGATTTTCAAACTTTTTAAAGTATCACAAGCCTTTTTAGAAACAGATAAGGTGAGGGTGGGCAGCTACTCGTGGAATTTGGTTTTCCTTGCTAAGCGAAACAAGGGTCAGTCAAGGACAAGACCCCTCCTTTCCTGCAACTGGTGATGGCCCCATCCCCAGCTCAAGCAAACATGCTTATTGGATGATAAGCATGTCAGTCAAAGCAAGACCCTACCCTCAATTCCCCAAAGGACAAAGCTAAGATGTTTTCACTGGTTCAGAAGGGTCAAGTCTCCATTCCTGCACCATGACCGGGAGGTGGGTGGGTCCAGAACCCCCCCCCCCCCACACACACACACACTTAAAGACAGATCGAGGTGTCAATCAGCGCTGGTTAATCAGCCCTTTACCCTCTTGCTCAGCCCAGCCTGGGCTTTAGAGCGGAAGCTCTTGATTGGCTGTCAGCTAGAGAGCCCACCCTCTAAAGGTGTCAACGCTGCTCTGATGAACCGCTGATTGACATCAGAGCCCACAGACCTGTCACTACTGGCTCTGCCTCTTTCAGGCCCTCTAAGGACACAGAGACAAGCAGGCCTGCCGGGAGGATCTGAGTCCCCCCCCCCCCCCCCCCCCCCCGCTGCTTTCTGCTGATCCTTTTTAGGTGTCCTGTTCTGTTCCCCAGTCCCACCCAGGCAGGGAAGGAGGCCATAGAGTGGAGCAATGTTGATTTCCCCCGACTGTGAGCAGCGGGGGGGGGGGGGGGGGGGGGGGTGTCTCTGCGCAGCCGCACTAGGGAAAACAAAAACCAGGAGCGGGTCCAAAGCAGTTTCAAAGATGAAGTCAAAGCGACTGCTAATTTGCTGTTCACTTGTAGCCTTCAGGGATTGGCTTTCGTTCAGACCGCCCAAGTTGAATCTTGGCTGGGACATGTATTTGCGCATGTGTGACTTTTTGAAAATATATTTAAGTTTTCTGTAATTGTGTTTTCCGTAAGAGCACGTAATACAACTCTAGTTTAAAATTTAAAAGTAAATGTAGTAAAAATAACTATAACTAATCATCTATTGTTGGTTGCACAATATACAAAATAAGAACTTTATCAATTACCTAGATTGTGATGGGGATGAATAAAATTGTAGAGTTTAGGAATACTATTGAAGTTATTGTTATCAATTTAAAATAGGACGTTATAATTTAAAATACTTAAAGCTTAATGGAAGGAACAACAGATCTACAAACCAGCCAGAAAACAATTAGCAAAACAGCAAGAGTAACTCCTTACCCATCAATAATTACTTTATACATAGATTAATTCTCCAATTGAAAGACATAGGAGGGCTGAATAAATTAAAAACAAACACCAGGAGCCAACAATATGCTGCCTACAAGAGACTCATTACAGCTGTTTGTACAGAAAATAATACAGTAATTAATAAATAATAATTCAAGACTAAACTGCTGCACACACAATTGTAAACCTACTTTTGCCCTACAAATTATAGACTGAGGGTGAAGAGATTGGAAAAAAAATATTTCAAGCAAATGGAAGTGGAGGGTAAGCAAGTGCAGCTATACTTACATCAGACAAAATACTTTCAACTAAAAATGGTAAATTTTATTCATCAAAACTCTTTTTCAGGGTCAGATCCCAAACCGACCTGTCTGAGCTTGTTTTTCAAAATGAAAGCTTCCCCCAAAGAGGCCACTTTGTAAGGTGAGTACAGTTTTCCGGAAAGCCCAGAAAGTGTATTCCACGTAAGAAAAACGGTGGTTCAGAGGCTGGATAGTGTGCGTAGAGAGTATTTTTCTTTAAAATGGAATCTGTTTGAATCTACCTCCCCTCCCCCACTCCTAACACCAGTCCTGCCCCATCTTGATGAGTTTAGAGTTTCTGAAGAATTCCTTCTTCCTCCCCTTCCTTCCCTCCCTCTCTCCTTTTCTCTCTCTTACTCCTTCTTTTTCCTCTCCTCCTTCCTCTCCCTGCATCTCTCTCATTAAAATAAAGAGCCAGATTATTTTTTGTTTCATTCCTGGCAGCATGACCACAATGTGTGTGTGCTGTGGAGGGGAGAAACTCCGCAATAAATGTAGAGAACAAATAGTCAGGGGTGGCATTTCAAAGAAGGAAGTCCTCTCTGAGAAGCTGATATTTAGCAGAAACTTGAAGGAGACCCGGGAGGCGAGATGAAAGACAAGGCAGGTGTGCCTCTGCCTGACGCCTCGTGGCATCAGCAATGGCCGTTCTTTTCCGCAACTGCAGCTGACACCCCACATCCTCATTCTGACCCTGGCGGAGTTCCCCAGACCCTCTCACATTTGAAACAGCTGACTCCCAGAATCCCGCAGCTCTTCTGACTACTAAAGGCCCCAACTGGCCTGAGTAGGTTCACAAACCTTGTCTCCAGAAGCCACCGTTTTCAATCCCGGGCCCAACCCCCTTCTTAGTGACTGTCAGGTTTCCAAAACCACCCTCCACCCCCCAGTGCACGGTTGGAACATCCACAAAACCATGATTGCCATGATTTCATGTTTAGGGCACTTATTGAAGAACTTCCATGGATGCTACATGAATGTTAATGAGGATCCATCCCCCCAATGTTTATAAACACCTAATCTGTGACAGGCAATGCTATCAGCACTCTCAGATTAACCTTCTACACATCCTTAGGAAGTAGTGTCATTAGTCCCAACTGATAGAGGAGGAAAATGGGAACATAAGGTCACATATGTGATACTTCCTGTATATCTTTCTCAAATGTCATCTAAGTGAGGCCTTTGGCCTGGCCACTCTAGCTAAAATTTACACACACACACATACACACACACACACACACACACACACACACACTATACGCTTTCCTGTTTCATTTTTCTCCTTAACACTTATCACCATAGTATACATTTTATTTTGTAAAATAAATTTTTATTGATCTCAGAGAGGAAGGGAGAGGGAGAGATAGAAACATCAATGGTGAGAGAGAACCATGGATTGGCTGCCTCCTGCACACCCCACACTGTGGATCCAGCCTGAAACCTGGGCATGTGCCCTGACCAGGAATCAAACTGTGACCTCCTGGTTCATAGGTCGATGCTCAACTACTGAGCCATGCTAGTTGGGCTACGTTTTACTTATTTACCTCTATATGATCATTACTCAAGATTGCCGAAACCGGTTTGGCTCAGTGGATAGAGTGTCGGCCTGCGGACTGAAGGGTCCCGGGTTCAATTCTGGTCAAGGGCATGTACCTTGGTTGCGGGCACATCGCCAATAGGGGGTGTGCAGCAGGCAGATGATTGATGGTTTTTGCTCATCGATGTTTCTAACTCTCTCTCCCTCTCCCTTCCTCTCTGTAAAAAAATCAATAAAATATAATTTAAAAAAATAAAATATCAAGGTTCAATGAACCAAGAGGTTGCTGGTTTGATTCCAGGTCAGGGTGTGTACGGGGGTTTCAGGCTGGATCTCGCTGGGGGCAGTGCAGGAGGCAGCAAACTGGTGTTTCTCTCCCTCTTTCTTTCTAACATTCAATATAAAATGTATTTTAAAATATCATGGCTCAAATATCCTTGGGGTCAAACAGAAGGGTTAAAACATGTTTTACTCTGACCACTCCTACTGGCCACCATGCCCACCCTGGAAAATTCCTGAGGACGGAGATCCTGGTGTCTGTCAGTGCCTGGCGCATTGTCAGGGCTTGGCACACAGGAGGAACTCAACTCCCACCTCTTCATCCCAGTGTAGTCTGTTCAAGGCCAGTTGCTTAGCAAAATGGCTACTATGAGAAAGATGGAGAATGCTGAGCAATGGTGAGGAAGGAGCACTTGCAAAAGGGGGAATTGCAGTTGGGAAAACTGGCATGCTTTACTAAGGCTCATCACCTGTCTACCTCATGGTAGCAATTCCGTTCCCAGATACATATATGCCCAAGAGAAATGAGTGCATATGTCCATCAAAAGATGTTCACAGAATAATTTTATTCAGTCTTTTTATTGTAGTACATGGGCTGGGACTGATGGAATGGAGATGTGGGCAACCATTGCTGATTAGCATAAAGGCCTATCCAGATAGCCGTGAATGTGCCAAAGGTGCCACCACTTGGCATTGCAGTTTTCCTGACCCCACATTCCGATCCTGGGACAGAAAAAGGAGCCAAAGAGTGCCCCAGCCACCATGCCCATGGTGCAACCCATCACCAAGCCCATCTTTTCGTGGTCAAAGCAGCTTGGCTGGGACTATCCATAGGGATCCACGGCCACCGGAATCTTGCTTATGACCTCAGTCTCTCCAATAATTATTCTTTTCTTATTATTGATTTTTTTACAGGGAAAGGGATAGAGTTAGAAACATTGACAAGATAGAAACGTTGATCAGCTGCCTCCTGCACACTCCCTCCTGGGGATGTGCCCGCAATGAAGGTACATGCTATTAACTGGAATCGAACCTGGGACCTTTCAGTCCGCAGGCCGAAGCTCTATTCACTGAACCAAACCAGTTGGGGCAAGAATTATTCTTAATAGCCCCAGACAGAGAAGTGCTCAAATACCCACTTGACACTAGAACGGATGAAGTGTGGTCTATTCCCACAATGGAAGAGAGCACAGTAATGTAACTACTGACCATGTAACTACGTGGATCTCACAAACATAGTGCTAAATGAAAGCAGTCAGATGCAAAAATGTCTCCATGCACTTACATGAAGTATTGGACTAGACAAATGAACCTGCACCGTTACAAGTTGGGAGGGTGTTTACCCTTGGGGTGGGGAGGGTGGACCTGAAGGAACTGCCTGGAGACAGAGGCATCCTGGGAGAAGACTGAAGCGCCAGACCTGTGAGTGAAGAAGCCATCTTGGATGTCCAGCCCAGTGGAGCTTTCAAATGAATCCAGCCCCAGCCACCATCTGACCCTAAGAACGGCCTACCTGAGCCCAGTCAAGCATAGGACCATGAAAGACAATATTAAATTGTCATTTAAGCCACTGAGTCTGAGGATGCTTGTTACACAGCAATAGAGAACCAGAATACCCAGGAAAGGCTGCAGTGGCCCTCTTAAGGTCTGATACCCCCGCTCCCACAACCCCCTCGCAACAAAATGAACACCAGCCAGTCAGATTTTCGGTTTCTTTAATAAGGTGCTCTGCGGAGAGGGCAGAATGGCAGGCAGGGGGTAGAAAAGGTGGTGCTTCTTGAGGTCCGCTGGGCATCCAATCAATCCTCATCTGGTAGCCGGATCTTGCTGGGGTCAAAGCAGTTGGATTCCATGATGGGAAGGCCATTGGCCTCTCGGTATTTTATAAGCCTTTCAGCTTCCCGGCGGGCCCACTCGTGCATCCTGGAGGCAGCAGCAAGAGGGAGGGAAGACATGAGGAAGCCTCACTGGACAGCAATCACCACCTCAGCCCTCCATTCCTCAAGGGTACAGGACGGGAGTCCTGGCAGAGTCCCCTTTGACTTCCACCCCTACCTCTGCCCCCACCCATCCCGTTCTCTCGGCCACCCCCTGAACCTGTAGTCGGGCATATATGCCATAAAGGTGGTGCCAAAGACCAAGACGATGGAGACGCCGAAGAAGAAGACGACCCGCATGTTCCAGACATCCAGAACGGGGTTCTTGTCGTAGCCATGAGAGTCAGGGTTCTGTGGAAGGAGAAGAGATCAACAGGGCTTCCCGCTGCTCCACAAAGCCTTATGCTGGCCATGTGTGAGCTATTCCCCAGTTTCACCTCTAACCAGTCTCCCCTTGCTCCCTAAATTCCCCTATTTCCGCTCTTAGGACTTGTCAAGCTCCTCCCCATCACAGGGCCTTTGCACTTACTGCTCCCTCTGCCTGGAAAGCCTCCCCCCCCCCCCCATGTAGTCATGCCTGGATCGGCCTCCTTATTCAAAGTTTTGTCTTGTCATCTTCTCTTAAGAGGCATTCCCTCTTCACATTGTCTATTAAGTTGAACTATCGGAAACTGCCATTTTCTTTAGTCAAAGATGGTTGACTATTGGCCATTTCCTATGGTTCAACCTAATAAAATTACCCCCAACCCCCAAGTCTCTCTCAATCCATTTATCCTGCTTAACATTCTTTCCAGCAGGTATTAGTTTACCAAAGTAGCATCCCACAGATCCTGTATATTACATTATCTTATATTACCAATTACATGCTCTATATTACCATTTCCAACTGTTTGACATATTTATCTTATGTGTTTTCCACTATGGTATAAGCTACATAAGAGCAAGGGCTTTATCTGATTTCTATACTGTTGGACCCCTAGGGCCCTGACCTGTGCCTGGAATTCAGTGGGTCCCTGACTCTTATATTTACAGAATGAATGAGCCTCTTGTATATCCAAGCCCCTCAACCGGAAATTAATATTGATGAAGTGCCTCTTATGTGTCAGGCCTTTTCACACACAGACTTCACAATATCCCAGCAAGTTGGAAAACGGCAATACTAAGTAACACCTTCTAAATGCTGAGTACGTACTAAGTGCCAGATGCTGTTCTGAGCATTTTGACTCATTTAATTATACGATGCAGCATTTTTAAAAAGGTGTCCTAATACTTTTTCCCATTTTGCAAAGAAACTGAGGCACTCAGGGGTTAAGTTGCTTCCCAAGGTCACTGAGGTGAGTAACTGTCAGTGCCTGTATTCCAACCCAGGCATTCTGATTTCAGAGCCTCTGCTATCACCCAGCACAGGAGACCTGGGGGACCTCATGTGTCCTGACGCGCATTCAGTTATGTGAGCTTGGGCAAGTCACTTGGACTTGGCGTCTCTGTGCTTCAGTTTCATCACCTGTACATGGAGTACACCAACAATACCGAAGAGAGAGTTGTTTGGAGCATCACATAAGTTAACGTATGTAAAATGCTTAGAAGACTGGCACCGCGCAAGCGTCCTATCAGGTTGGATACTTTTCTGCACAATAAGGTCAGCCTCGCCTCTGGCTCTGCACCGAAGATAACGCGGGGGAAATGAGGACAACGAGCTAGGCAAAACACACAAGTCCTCGAGGATTTACCCGTTGCGCAATCCCCAACCGCCTAAGAAAGTCCTCTACGGCGCCCCGTCCGCCGCCCCCGATTGACCCTCCCGGCGTCCCGTTTCCCCTCTCTCACCTTCTCATAGAGGTTTTCGTCCTCCGGTTCTGGGTCCTCCTGCCAGCGCACTGTCGGCTCCGGCTCCCGCTTCCCCGCCGCGGCGGGCGGAGCGATCACAGCCCTAGCAGAGCTGGATTCCCAGCGAACCGGGGCGGCCAGGCGCCCTCGGGTCGCCGCTGCTGCCAAAAGGCGGCGAGCGCACAAACCTAACAGTCCGGGCGCCATGACAGTCGGTGCTGCAGGTTCTCAGGGGCGGGGCCGGAAGTGGAGCTCTGCGCAGCCGCAGTTGACCCGGGCGCGCTGCTTGTCGCTCCGCCCCCTCCGCACGAAATAGGTCCTAGCCGGTCTAGCTGTGCTTTTAAAGGGGCCGGAGGCGCTGAGCAGCCCTCCTTCCTCCCGGTGGCACGGCCTCCGTAGAGCAGCCATTTCCTGATGCTCTCGGTTAAGCAATGGGAGTTCTGGCCGTGGGGCCTGCCGGGACTCCGCCTTTCCTCGGTGGGAAGAAAGCGATGACATCTTGGGGGGGCGGGTGCAGTTCCCAGCCAATCGCGCCGGGTTTCCCGTGCCCTCGGCGCAGGAGGCAGAGCTTCCGCTTGGCTTTCATCTTGGGAGGAAGCTGAGCGCCTCCGAAGCGCGCCTCGCCCGATTGGCCAGGCGCTGCGCCGCTTCGCCACTCGCAGGCGTCCGCCCGGCGCCGGGGCCCGGGGAGCTGGCGGGCGCTTGCCAATCAAGGCGGCGCGGGGCCGGCCCATGGCGGATGGCGGCCAATCGCCGCGGCCGGCCGGAGCGCGCTCCCTCGGTAGGTGGATGGTGGTCGGAGCGCCGGCTCCAGCGCCTGGTCGCCATTTTGTGCTGGTGGTTGCGGCTCGCGGGGAGTAGGCGGCGGCGGGGCTCCCGGGGCGGCGGCGCGCTCGGCGCTTGTCCCCCTCCCTCCCTCCGCCTCTCCGCCTGCAGCTCTGAGCTTGGCTGCTGCGCCAGCGGCTCCCGCTGGGCCGGGCGAGCTGGTGGCGGTGGCGGAGGGCCGGGGTGATGTCTGGGAGCCCTCCCTTGACAGCCCGAGCCGAGGTGAGGATCGAGCTGCGCGGGCGGCGGGGCGCGGGGAAGGGCCGGGGCCGGGGGCGGCGTGCGCGGCCGCAGCCGGGATGGTCGTGAATTTCCACTCGTTTGCACACCGGGGGCGCGTGCGCGAGCGATCGGGGCGCAGGATGGGTGCACGCGGGGTGGGGGAAGGGAGAGGCGGGTGGAGGGGGCTGCTGGGGTGCGTGCGTGCGACACGGAACTTTATCCGTTGGGCGGCAGGTGCCTGCCACTTTGTTTCTTATCTGCAGGCGGGAGGCTGTGCTGGCTGTCCTGTCTGTCCGTGGGGTGGGGAAGTGTTCCGGGCCTGGGATCCTTGGGAGTTGCAGTTAGAGGAGGAGGGGGGCGGGGGAGAACGGCTGCATGACCCTGGTCTGTATCCTCGCGGCGGGTGTCTAACTGGTCCCTCCCTGTTCCGGGGAGCGGTCCCTATCCACGGGGAGCCTTCTGGCGCCGGGCCCTAACCTGCCTCCTGGGTAGGGAAGGAATGCAAGGGAAGGGTGCGTGACTTATTGCCCCTTCTTGGGGGAGGGGGGGATTGTCTGTGGACTGTGATGTTTATCCATTGAAAGGGGGGGGCTGTATTGTGAGTTCCTGCCTATGATTTTGGCCCGTAGCTATTTGGGGCGCGTGTCTGACTAGCCCCTGCCTGTTGTGGATGCCGGTGTGTGGCTCTGGCCCCTTTGCCAGAGTCTGATGGGGGTTTTGTAGGGACACTTGTCCAGGGGGCCCTGGTGGTGATCCTCTTAGCCATGTGGGAGCAGGCATCGCTGGCTCCCTGCGGCCTGAGGAGGACATCAGTGTGGTGTGTGTGTGTGTGTGTGTGTGTGTGTGTGTGTATGTATTTGCAGGGGAAAGGTGTGGTGGCAGCCCCGTAGGTGCTGTGACTGCCTGGTGTTCCCAGTTGCTGCCCAGAGGGCAGGCCTGAAGGTTCTGGGATGCGGCCTGGTGACCCCTGGCCAGGTCACATGGCTCTCGGGATTTCCTTAGATCTCAAGCCCCAAGGGTTGGGTGAAATGACCGCCCTTCTGAGGGAAGAGCACAGTGTTTGGGACCAGCCGCCCCAAGGGCCCCTTTGGCCTCTGGGTAACGGGCCCGGAACCCTGGGGGGAGAGAGCTGCCTGGAACCTGGCTGCTCGGAGGAGACAGCACTCGGGGCTGAGCCATGGCCCCGGGAGGGCCGGAGCCGTGCTGGCCAGGAGCCCAGGGACCGGCGGCTGTCTCATTGCCAAGCTGACCCCTTCGCCCCCTCAGCCTTCCCTGGTCTGCTGCCGGCAGCCAGCCTCTTGTTGGGAGGCTGAAGGGGCACCCGGGCAGCTGGGACTGCTCCCTGAAGCCTCGCACCCATGCCTACTGTGCCCGATCTCCAACGCCATTCAGCACCCAGAGCCCCCGCGGGCAGGGAGCTCCAGCTTTGAACGTGCCTACTAGTTTCAGGTGTCAAAGCTCTGATCACGGAATGGGTGACGCCACCAGGTTTCTCTGCAGGATGCTCCGTGTCTGCTGCAGGCCCTGCCCCTCATTCCAGGGGAGTGAGCTCTAGCCTCACATCTGTGGGGAGGGGAGCGGAGCAGACCAAGGAGGGGCTGCATCCCCCCCCCCCCCCGGGCCACAGGAGCACTGGCTTTGAGAGACACAGTCCCTGGACCAAGGGACAGCGGAGAGCCTTGACAACAGGGGTTTCTCAAGGAGGCCCCCTCTGCCCCGCCTGCTCTGACCCCTTTCCTCCTGCCTCTGTCCCCAGAGTCCTTGCAGGAGGCATCACCCAGGCTGGCAGATGATGGTGACAGCAGCGGGAGTGACTGGGAAGTGAAACGGAGCCAGCGGCTGAGAAGGGGCTCCAGCAGCCCCCGAAGGTCCTATCAGGACATGGAGTATGAAAGACGGTGAGTGACCTGCTTCCGCCTGGACCAGACAGCCCAGGCCCATCCCCATGTGAGAAGGGATCCGGGAGGGGCCAGGAGGGGGCTCTCGGGCTGAGGAGCCAGCGGGAGCCAGCACCAGTGTGCTAGGCTCTGGCAGTGCCATGGTGAAGGAGACTCACAGCGGAGACCACACAGCGTACAGGTGGTTCCGAAACAGTTGGCTGGTGTCACAGTTGGTTGTGAGGGTCGGAAGGGATCAAGAGAAAGGCTTCTAGCCGAAACCAGTTTGGCTCAGTGGATAGAGCATTGGCCTGCTGACTGAAGGGTACCGGGTTTGATTCCGGTCAAGGGCACTTACTTTGGTTGCGGGCGCATCCCTTGTGGGGAGTGTGCAGGGGGCAGCTGATCGATGTTTCTCTCTCATCCATGTTTCTGGCTCTCTGTCTCTCTCCCTTCCTCTCTGTAAAAAAAATCAATAAAATATTTAAAAGAGAGAGAGAGAGAGAGAGAGAGAGGTTTCTAGTTTGGGGGACCCAGATAGGTATATGGTGCCATTTGCCAAGGTCTGAGCAGCCACTCACTGTGGGGGGAGAGGCAGAGATGGGCAGTGGCTTGTACGTGCCTGTGGACTCTCGGCAGAGGTGTGAGCTGTAGCTCCGGGTTGAAGGGAGGGGTGAGCATGCCTGCAGCGCCAGGAATTTGCCGGGACAAGTATGGGGCAGGCCGGGTCAGATGGTGGGAGATTGCAGGGACAGAGTGGGCTGAAGCTGGCGTGATACTTGCCTTGGAATGGCCACTCTCTCACAGTTATTTTTAAACTCTGGAGGAACAAGAAACAGTGGGAACACTGATAAATTCCAGAGTTCCCAGGCCATCCCCTCACCATCCTGCTGCATCACCCCAGCTTCTTCCCATGCAGGTGATCTGGTCGCTACGTTTTAGGGTTACATAGGAAAGCAGACCTAACTCTATCAGTAGGTTTATGAAAAGTCAGGAAAAAATAATTTTAAATGTCCTATAAAGGTCTTCTTCTACCACCAGGCCCTTTTAAAAATGTAGAATTAGCCCTGGACAGTTAGGCTCAGTGGTTAGAACGTTGGCCCGTGGACTGAAGGTTCTGGGTTTGATTCTGGGCAAGGGTCTGTACCTTGGTTGCAGGCTCAATCCGTGGCCTTGGTCGGGGTGCGTGTGGGAGGCAGCCAGTCAAATGTGTCTCTCCCCCATCTCTCTCTGTGTCTCTCCCCCTCCCGTCCATTCTCTCTAAAAATCAATGGAAAAATATCCTCGGGCAAGGATTAAACAAAAAAAGTGGAGTTACAATATTTTGTTTTCTGAAAAGTGAGCCCATATTGAGATGTGCGATTTCGTCTTGACCTTCGTTAAAAATGTCTTTTGAAAGGCATTTGATCGGGGATGGGATTCGCTGCACGTGCTCTGTGGCGGCCTCTGAGTGTGAGTAGGTGCCATAACTTGCCTACTTCAGGCTTTCTTACCAAATAAAGCCACTGGCTTTCTTTTTCGGCCTTTGAAAGGCCCTCAGATGCAGAGTTGGAGTTCATCGTGCTTGTGTGGTTCCCAGTGGGCCAGCACAAAGGCCTTCTCTTGCCTTCTCTTTCCCTTTTCACTCCCAGCTCCCATGGCTGTGGGCAGCTTCTCTGTCGTGTTGGGAAATGCATTCTTGGAAAATATCTCGTGTTGTTTGGAATTGTCTGTGTCTTCGCTTCACACAAATGACACAAGCTTCCTTTCCCTCTGAACTTGGTGTAACTCAGCACTGCGTTGGTTCGAAGCTCTGTCTGTGTGTATTAGCGCTTCGCTTCTAATTGGTCCCAGAGGCACCGAAGGATATGCCTCCTGCATTGTGCTTAATGATCCCCCAAGGATGGCTACCTGCTCCTCGTTGGGGTGTGTGTGTGTGCTAAAACTAATCACCTTTTTGTCTCACGGTCTGTGCTTTCTGAATCCTCTGGTTCCTAAGGCAGGATCCCAGCGGCTGTTTGCACTGCATAGTTTTACCTTTCTCATTCAGGCCGTTGAGTTCAGTTCAGTTTTGGATATGGTGTAAGGTAGATTCTGGTTTTATTTCCTTCCTATGGTGGGCGGTGTCCCCGGTACCATCTCCTAAGAGAGGCCCCTCGCCTCATTTCTAGTTACCTCTGTACATGGGTTTCATCGATTTACTTGTTCTTTCTCGTGCTAGAACCTTTCTGTCTTTATTATTATGGCTTTATAGAATGTCTTCATAGCTCCCACATTGTCATTTTTGTCACCTTTCTCTTCTCCTTCCTTCCTGCTACCTCTTCCCTCTCCCCCCATAAGACATCCTTCCCCCCCTCCCCCCCCCCCGAACCAATCATTTGAGTTAAAGGAGACATGATTCTTAAGTACTACAGCATGTATGTCCTAAGGACAAGGACTTTTTCTTCCGGAACCACAGTGCACTTGTAAATATCAGGAAATGGAACGTTGATGTCCTACTTTGTCTTAGGTAAAGTCCGTGTTCAGATGTTATCAGTCCCAATAATGTCCTTTATAGCTGTTTGTCCCTAGTCCGGTATCCAGTTCAAGATTACACACATTGCTTTGAATGTTTAGTCAGTCTCCTTTCATCTGGAAGAGTTACTCGGTCTTTCTTTGCCTTTTAGGATCTTGATATGTTTCAGAAGTACAGGTCAGGAAAGTACAGCGTGAGGAATGTAGTCAGTATTGTGATAACTGTGTAGCGGATGTATCCGGGGAATATCCGGGGAAACACTTTGTCAAGTTCAGTGGAGCCTCGGTTCTCGAACTTAATTCCTTCCAGAAGGCTGCTTGGGAAGCGATTTGTTGGAAAACCAAATCGCTTTTCCTATTAGAAATTATGTAAATTGAATTAATCTGTTCCATACCCCAAATGATTCCCTGTTTTAACCTTTCTTATATGCAGTACATGTCTGATATACTGTTGAATCTATAAACAAACACTTCTTCTCTTACATTTATCGAACCATCCTACTAGCCTTACCTCACTTCAGCACTCGGTCCAGGGGTGTCTTTTGGGTGAGCAAGCAGCATCTTTGCATGTCACGTATCACTGCCTTCGAAGTGCTGTCCCCAGCTAACGGCTTTTCCTTTATCCAAATCAACCGTTTTTCTGCCTCTTCCATTGCCTGTGATCATTGCTTCTTTCACACCCTTAGCACCATTACCGTTCTTTCAAAAATTTTACATTTATTGCTGCAAGTATTACAGGTGTGCCCTTTGTTGTTTTTGTGGGTTCATTTCCCCAGTGACCCCCTCCACCTCATACCCACCCCTCCCAGACCTTCACCTCTCTATTGTCTGTATGATCAGATGGAATTAATTGCCATTTTCGGAACATTTCACCCCAAAGCTACAGAATATACATTCTTCTCAAGTGCACCTGAGACATTTTCAAAGAAAGACCACATGTTAGAACACTAAGTACAAGTTCAAGAAGACTGAAATCAAATCAAACATCTTCTCAGATCACAATGGCATGAAATTAGAAATCAATTAGAGTAAAAACACTCAAAAACATTCAAACATATGGAGGCTAAATAGCACGTTATTAAATAATGAATGGGTTACCAAAGAGATCGAAGAAAAAAATAAAAAAAAACATCCTGGAAACAAATGCAAATGAACACACAGCAACCCAAAATTTATGGGACACAGTGAAAGCGGTCCTGAGAGGCAGTTCATAGCATTATAGCCCTACCGCAAAAAACAAATAAACAAGAAAACACTTTTTTAAAAAAATATATATTTTATTGATTTCTTACAGAGAGGAAGAGAGAGGGATAGAGAGCCAGAAACATCGCCGAGAGAGAGACATCGATCAGCTGCCTCCTGCACACCCCCCACAGGGGATGTGCCCACAACCAAGTACATGCCCTCGACCAGAATCGAACCTGGGACCTTTCAGTCCGCAGGCCGACGCTCTATCCACTGAGCCAAACCGGTCTCGGCAAGAAAACACTTTTAATAAGTTATCTAACCCTACAACTTAAAGAATTAGAAAGAAATCAGGAGAAGCCCAGAATAAGCAGAAGGAAGGAAATAATAAAGATCAGCGTGGAAATAAGTAACATAGAGACAAACAAACAAAAAAATCAGTAAAGGCTCCTGCTCGCTCAGTGGCCACAGTTAATTTGGTTGAGTTAATTTGTGGGATTGGGCCTAAACCCGCAGTCGGGCATCCCTCCTATAGTCCAGAACCACTGGTTCCTAACTGCTCACCTGCCTGCCTGCCTGATTGCCCCTAACTGGCCCCCTTGCCAGGCTGATAACCTCTGCCTGCAGATCTGATTGCCACTACTCCCCCCTCACCCCCCCCCCACACACACACACACTGGCCTGGTCGCTCCCAACAGCCCTCCCTGCCGGCCTGGTTGCCCCATGCTGCCTGGTATTCAGTTGTTTGGTGTCCTTCACTAACCCCCCTGCTGGCCTTGTCGTCCCACTCAGCTTGTTCAGTTGGTCATCCATTCTGTTGTCTTGGATGCAATGGCCCCTCGCTCGCTCGTTTTATAGATAGATAGATAGATAGATAGATAGATAGATAGATAGATAGCTTATCTGTCCCTTGAAAGCTTTGTAAAACTCACCTTTAAAAGGGCCTGTGCCCGGCCAGTGTGGCTCAGAGGTTGAGTGTTGCTCTATGAACCAGGAGGTCACAGTTTGATTCCAGGTCACATGGTCAGGGCACATGCCCAGGTTGCAGGCTCAATCCCCAATTGGGGGTGTGCAGGAGGCAGCCGATCCATGATTCTCTCTCGTCATTAACCTCTCCCATACTCTCTAAAATCAAAGTATTTTTAAAAAATAAAATAAAAGGGCCTGAGTGTTGTTTTTTTTTTTTATTGTCCACTTCTCCCAATTTTGGAATTTTATGTTTTCTAGAAATATACTCATTTTGTGGCAGTCCTCGTATATTATGATTCAGCCCGACTTCCTGGAAATGTCTTATGAGCAGGGTCTGCCTTTGAATCAAAGTGCCCTGTGGCCAATGAAAAGTGTCTCTTACCATCTAAATCTGTTCCCGTCCTGATTTTTACACATTCTACTAATGGTGGCCTTTTTTTAATTTGAGAGAGAAACATGGATCAGCTGCCTCCTGCATGCCACCTACTGGGGATCATGTGCCCTGCGACCTCTCAGTGCATGGGACCGCCCGTGGCCAGGCTGTTCTCTTCCTGAATTAAGATAGTAAGAGTTTAATGTCCAAACTTATTCGGTTTATATTCTCAGTGTCAGAGGGTAAGGATTTAATCGAAACATTTCTTTAAATCTGTTCAATTTCTAAATTCTGCTGACTGGAGTTCAAATGTTGAGGGCTACCTATAGTAAGCAAAGATGGAAAAGCATTGTTCATATAAAAGACCTTCAGAATACTCATACCAGCTGCTTCCTGCTGAGCCATCCATCGTAAGGAAACGATTGGGTTCCAAGCTGAGCTCACAGGACAGGGACTTCACTTCGTTCACAGCCATATCTGCAGCCTAGAACAGTGCCTGGCACATAGCAAATGTCACATTAATGTTTGTTAAATGAATGAACAACTATCAAAAATTGGAAAACAACCAAAATGCCTGGAGACAATTTATTTTCCCCATCTTTTAGCTTTATAGGTGTGTGTGTGTGTGTGTGTGTGTGTGTATTAATATATTTTATTGATTTTTTTAGAGAGGAAGAGAGAGGGATAGAGAGTTAGAAACATCGACGAGAGAGAGACATCGATTAGCTGCCTCTTGCACACCCCCTACTGGGGATGTGCCTGCAACCAAGGTACATGCCCTTGACCGGAATCGAACCTGGGACCTCTCAGTCTGCAGGCTGATGCTCTACCACTGAGCCAAACCGGTTTTGTCTGGTTTTTTTTTTTTTTTTTTTTGAATGTATTGTGAAATTTCAAGCATACAGCGAAGTTGAAAGAATTTTACAGTGAACACCTCTATACCCGCCCACTGGATTCTATCATTAACATTCACTGTGCTCGCTTTTTACCACAAGTTTATGGTGTTTTTTACTCTAGATATTTTTAAATGTTTATGAAGCCAGAGTTTATGTTTTCTTTTTTATCACTTCTGGGTTTTGTCTTGCTTAGAAAGCCTTATCCCGTTCTTGAGGTCATCATATTTCCTTTCTGGTTGTTTTATGGTTTCTATCCAAGGATTTAACTTTTTTATCCATATAGAATTTCGTTGGTGTAAGAAGTGAAGTAGATAAATAATTTGATTTTCTTAAGGGCCAGAATTTTTCTGTGGAGGACCACCTAGCAATTATCTTATTTTTGGAAATCAGCCACGGACAACATGTAAACTCTCTGTGGGTGACTGGGTTTGGCCCATGGGCTGTAGTTTGCCGATTCCTGGACCAGTTATCACAACTAGTATTTATTGACTAATCCATCCCTCTCCTCCACACACCCCCACCCCTCCCCACCCCCCGTTCATTTGAAATGCAACCTTTGGCTTATTCTAAATTTCCATATGTTGTATTTGTACTGTGGACGCTCTGGTCTCACTGATCTGTTCGTTTGTTTCAGTTGTTTCACCTTTACAATATGTATTTTTAAAATATATTTTATTGATTTTTTTTACAGAGAGGGAGGGAGAGGGATAGAGTTAGAAACATCGATGAGAGAGAAACATCGACTACCTGCTTCCTGCACACCCCCTACTGGGGATGTGCCCGCAACCAAGGTACATGCCCTTGAGTCCTCAGACTAACGCTCTATCCACTGAGCCACACCGGTTAGGGCAGTGAATAATGTTTCTGTATGTATGCAAGCATATCAGTCCGTTAAGTTCCCAGGAAAACCGGTGGGCAGAGAGTATAAAGGTTTTGAGTTTTGCCAGCTATTGCCAAAGCCCCCTCCATAGGGATTGTTCCATTTCCTGTCCATACAGCCTTGCCAACAAGTTTGCTGTCAGACATTTGGACTTTTGAAGATCTGTTAAGTTAAAAGTGTTCTATCGTAACCCTTTCTTCCAAAAGAATTCCAAGTAATATAGATACTCTTCACTCTAGGAGAACTTAATTCCCCTCCTCTTGAGGCTGGGCTGGCCTTAATTCCCCTCCTCTTGAGGCTGGACTTGCTTCTAAAGCGTAGAGAATGGAGCCGAAACTGGTTTGGCTCAGTGGATAGAGCGTCAGCCTGCGGACTGGAAGGTCCCAGGTTCGATTCCAGTCAAGGGCATGTACCTTGGTTGAGGGCACATCCCCAGTGGGGGGTGTGCAGGAGGCAGCTGATCGATGTTTCTCTCTCATCGACGTTTCTAACTCCATCCCTCTCTCTTCCTCTCTAAAAAAATCAATAAAATATATATTTTTTAAAAATAAACAGCGGCATCCTGAATACAGGCAAGGTATTTATTTCTGCATATTAATTTTGTATCTAGCATCCTTGCTGCTTTGTAATCATTTTCCAGTTGATTCTCTTAGACTTTGCAGTCGCATCCTCATTTCATTGACAAGTGCTGGTGATTTTACCTCCTCCTTTCCAGCTTTTAATCTCTTTTCTTCATTCCTTTGTTGAGTTGTTTTAGCTAGTATCTTAGGACACCGTTAGCAATAGACATGCTAGTTGTTCCTGACCGGGATTGGGCTCCTGCTAGTGGTAGTGTATTCGTTTTCTTAAAGTATTTTTATTGGCTTCAGAGAGGGAGAGGGAGCAAGAAACAGCAAGGATGAGAGAGAATCATTGATCAGTTGCCTCCTGCACACCCCTCACTGGGGATCGAGCCTGCAACCCAGGCATATGCCCTGACTGGGAATTGAACCGTGGCCTCCTGGTTTGTAGGCCGACGCCAACCACTGAGCCACACCGGTTGGGCCAGTCTAATACTTTTTAAGTCATCGAAGCAAAGCACATTAAGTCAGCTTTGTGATCATTGCTTTCCAGTCACTGCAATGGGCGTTTAAACGGAACAGCTGCTAGTGCTGGCGAGGCGACTGAGCCACAGGCAGGCGCAAAATGCAGTGAGGCAGGCGGAGGGGCGGGTGGGGGGCAGGGCCCTGGGCCTGCAGGACCCCGCAGACCTTGTAGGACCTCGGTGAGCATTTTGGCGTCTCATCCTGAGAGGGAGAGGGAGACACTGAAGGGGGTGACAGGCGGGGCTCGGTTGGCTTTGCCTTGGAGAGCCCTCACCACGTTTGGGGTGTGGAGAGGGAGTCCTCATCCGCAGCCCAGGGAAGGAAGGAGGCATGGACAGGAGAGGGAGGGGAGGGGAGAGGAGGGAGGGGAGGGGAGGGGAGGGGAGGGGAGGAGTGGATTGTGCGCGAGGGGCTGAAAACGGGCTGGGTCTTACAGAAGGGACGGCCTGTAACCCCCCACTTGCCTTCCCCCAGGGGTGGTCGTGGGGACAGGACTGGCCGCTACGGAGCCGCCGACCGCTCCCAGGACGACGGCGGGGAGAACCGCAGCCGGGACCATGACTACCGGGACATGGACTACCGCTCGTACCCCCGCGAGTACGGCAGCCAGGAGGGCAAGCACGACTATGACGACTCCTCCGAGGAGCAGAGTGCCGAGGTGAGGGGCGGCCCGGTGGGGGGCAGCGGGGCGGGGGGCTCCTGCAGGGCCTCCAGGCCTTTGGACTGTGCTCAGCGGCTTGGCCTCCCCCTCGGGGGGCTCCTCTCCCCAGTTGGGGCTCCCTGACCTCCGTACGCTTGGCTCTGTACCTCCGGGGGCCCCTCGCTGCCCCCTCTCTCCCTCTTCCCGGGACCCAGCTGGGGCCCATGGTCACTAAGCCGTGCACGCCTGCTCCTGGCCAGTGCGAGGCTCCGGGACATGGTTCCCACCACGCAGAGCAGCTCTGGGGGCCAGCAGGGGCGTTCCCGGTGCTGAGTCCCTAGACGGGAGGGAAGGCCCTCCCAGGCCGGTCCCTGTGCTCCATGTGGGAGTCAGCCCTAGGAAGGCACGGTGCTCCCCAGCAGGCAGCCTTGCCGTAGGCAAACCCCGTGTGAGCCAGCAGCAGCTCTTACTCAGCGGGGGAAGGATGCTCTGGCAACCTCAGCCCCGGAAGGCAGAGTGCGGGCCGCGACCTCCCTCGGGGTGGGGGGGTGGTCAGATGCAGAGACCCCTGTGATAAGCACCCAGCTTTCCCAGCTGGGGAGGCAGTGGGGTGGGGAGGATAGGAGCGGAGCACCGCACCATCTGGGCCTCCCGAGGGCGGGAGGGGTGGCAGCAGCCAAGGAGCCGGCACCACGCCCCATTAGGAGGGGTCCTGGTGGTGACAGGCTGGTCAGGAGGATCGGGGACCAGGGGGCGTGCTGGGGCCCTTGCCCGTTTGCTTGGCTCTGACCAAGCTGTGCCCGTAACCACAACGTGGCTGCAGGGCCCCGGCCCAGGCCGGGAATCACAGGCCACAACGGCCTTCCGTGGCACAGGGAACAGTTGTGCACAGAACCAGCTGAGCGGCCCGGGGAGGGGCAGGGAGGAACAGAGGGCGGGCCTGGCGAGCCAGCCTCAGACCACCTCTGAGGGGTCGTAAGCAGTGTCTGGCCCTCCCCCCACCAGCAGAGCCACCGGTCCTCCCCTCCCCCCTCCTAGGCAGCCCGCAGAGTCACCAGGTGCCGGGGAGAGGGGCTCACCAGGAGAGGTGCACGCAGGCCTCCCCTGCCTGCCCTAAGCCTTCGGCCGGAGCTGCCCAGCCGGCTTTCAGAGCCTGCCTGCCTGCCTCAGAGCCAGGGCCAGCCCGGGCGCCCAGACTGACCGCGCGTCCGGTGTCTGTCGTCTCGTTCTGTCGGCCAGGATTCCTACGAGGCCTCCCCGGGCTCCGAGACTCAGCGTAGGCGGCGGCGGCGGCACAGGCACAGCCCCACCGGCCCGCCGGGCTTCCCCCGAGACGGCGACTATCGGGACCAGGACTATCGCACGGAGCCAGGGGAGGATGAGGAGGAGGATGAGGAGGAGGAGGAGGAGGAGGAGGAGGAGGAGAAGGCCAGTAACATCGTCATGCTGAGGATGCTGCCACAGGCAGCCACTGAGGATGACGTACGTGCCCCCCGTGGCCCCGGGCAGGCGGCTGAGCAGGCGGCCAGGCTGGGCTTCCTCAAAGGCCCTCAGCTTGCCCCTCGGCCTGCCCTGGGCACCTGGTATCCCTCCCCCCACCGGCCCCGGCCTCCGGCACGGACCTGTCCTCCTGGTCTGGAGGAGGAGCGGAGTGGCGGAGAGATCGGACACGGAACGGAGCAGAGCATTCCTCGTACACGTGCTCCTGGTCTACGTCCGTCCGCTCTGCGTATGCTGGTTCAGGCCAGACGTCCGCCAGGCCCGGTGCCAGGCCACATTCCGGGCATCTCTGGTGGTGGAGGTGATGCTGGTGGAAAGGGTCCCCACAGATTTTATTCTCGCCCCTCCCCCTGCCCTCTTTTGGCACCTGCATCAGATCCCCTTCCTGGCCTGGCCAAAAAGCCTTTTTTTTTTTTTAAATTTTTATTTGTTTATTTGTTTTGTTTTGTTTTTTTTAATCCTCATGCTTAGAAGAAGGGAGAGAGAGAGAGGCAGAGACAGAGGGAGGAGAAAGAATGCTTAGAGGAAGGGGGAGAGAAAGAGGGAAACATTGCTCAGTTGCCTTCCGTTAATGCCCCAACTGGGGATCGAACCCACAACCTGGCTGTGTGCCCTGCCGGGAATCGAACCATGCCCGGATGGTGCTCCAACCAGCTGAGCCACTCCAGCCAGACAAGCCTTGGGTTCCTCTTTGACTTCCTTCCTGCGCTGCTAACAGTCTCTCCAGGCTGTTTTCCGTTGTGGTGTTCCGTCCCACCTTCCTCTCCTTTGTCCTGCGGACTTCCCCTGAGGAGCCCCAGTCAACCCGAGAGGGCCCGGCACAGCCTCCCTGTTCCCTTCCTCCTCCCTCCCCCTCCCTTCCCTGGGAATTCTCTGCTCAGCTTTCCTGAGCTCTGCCAGCCGCCCCCAGTCTGGCCCGCCTGCCCGCTGCCCGGTCACACAGTACTGAGCGCTGAGCTCGCTAGAGGACCCAGTCCTCAGCACCCCTCGGAGAAGGTATCCCTTGCATTTCCATTTTCCGGTTGAGGGAGCCAGGCCCCCAGCAGTGAAGTGACTTGTCTCAAGTCCCAGCCAGTGAGTGGCAGGGCAGAGTCGGGGTCTGAAACCGAGCAGGTGGGCCCAGAGCCCTAATTCTGGTTGTTTCCTGAGCCCTTCCTGCGTGTGTGTGCTCCTGAGAATCTCCTGTGTGTGTCCTTTTTCATCCTTCTGTGCGTGTGTGCGTTGAGTCTCCTTTCTGTTGTTTTACCTGATAAGGGAGCCGAGGCCCAGAGGCGCTAAGGCTACTGCCTGAGAATGCCCAGCGCACACTCCTAGGCTTCTAGAAGCGAGAGCCAGCGCTGGCCTAGAGACTCTGCCTCACCTGGGCCTGATCCCGAATGGCCTCTGCAGCTCCCCTCTGATTTCCTTCGTCCAAACCACCCCTTTTGGTCTCTGCCCCAAGTTTTTCTCCCCTCGGGTTCTGGGGGCAAGAGCAAGCACGGCTTGGAGCGTGCTCAGACCCCAGCCCTTCCTAGTTTCCGTGTATGTGTCGTGGCTCTCTTGATTCAGGCAGAGGGCAGCCCCTTTGCCAAGGGCCAGAGCTGCATCCTAGCTTTCCTCGCTTTGTGGCTGCACCAAGCCTCTTGTCAGGCTGCCCCCGCCCACCATTCTCCACAGCCAGGCTCGCCTCCTCTCCTATTGTCCTCTGCCCAAGGCTCGCCACGCTGCCCTGCTTCACCCTGCGCCAGGCCTGCCCTTCGCCTGACTCGCCAAGCCCGGGGCCGAACGCTGGGACTGGGTACCGGTGTGGGTCTGAGAGAAAGAGGAGACTGTGTGTGTGCATCGCCGATGGCCCCCCGGGGCCTGGAGGCCTCCCGCCGGCCTCAGCTACCCGGCACCCCCTGTGCTGAGCCGGCCCCAACCTGTCTCTCCCCCTACAGATCCGCAGCCAGCTGCAGACCCACGGCATCCAGGCGCGCGAGGTCCGGCTGATGAGAAACAAATCCTCAGGTGAGCTTTCGTTCTGGCGCTCCCCCTTCTGCTGGCCAGCCTCCGCCGCAGTCTCCTCCTGCCTCTGGCTCCTCCGCACCCCCCTGCCTTCCTGCCACTGCTGGGAATGGGCAGCTTGGGGTCCCCCTCATTTCTCTCTCTCCCCTTCACCCCGCTCTCCTCACAGCTCTGGCCAGCAGTCGCTTCCAAGGGGCTGTTGGGGAGGAGGTGCAGCTCTGAGCCGAGCTGAGCGCTCCCCAGGGGCAGGGCCGGGGCCAGGCTCCGGGGACCCTCCTCTCGGGGACTCTTGAGTATCTGAGACGGTAACCGCCTCCCAGTGCACCCCTCTCCCTCTCCGCTCTTCTCCTTTCCCTGCCCTCACTCTCCCCCCGCATTTCTCTGGCAACGGCCTCTGGCCAGACAGGAGGTCTGGCAGGGCCCCCCCATGCACCCCAAGAGGGGAGGCAGGGGTGGCTCTCACCCCAGGCTCATCCCAAGGAGCAGCCAGTATGTCTGGCCCCACCTGGCCCTCCCTCCCTCTTGCAGGCTGCTTGGAGGTGGCCTGGGGGTAGTAGGGGTTATGGGGGGAGCTGTCTCTACAGGATCTCTGGCCCAGGCTCCCCAAGGCAGACACAGTGGGCCTCACTCTGCCTGGGCTTCTCTCTCCATCTCAGTCTCTCTCCTCCCCATGCCTTCATCTCTCTCTCTCTCTCTTCTCTCTCTCTCTCTCTCTCTCTCTCTCTCTCTCTCTCTCTCTCATCTGTGTCCCTATCTACCATCTATCTATCTATCTATCTATCTATCTATCTATCTATCTATCTATGTATCATCATATCATTCCACCCTCCTGTGCACCCTAACAATTCTTTTGGAGATAAAGCATGCACCCCCAAACCCCTGTGTCCACCTCTGAAGGTAGAGCTGCTTCCCGCAGCCTCAGCCCCGGTCTTCCCTAACCCTGCCAGGCCTGGAGGCTCTCTTGGTAGCAGGCAGGTCTTGCCGTCCTTCACCCTGGCCCAGCCACATGCCATCAGGATTGTGGTCTGTGCCCACAGCAGTGCCCCAGGTGCAGCCTCCTCTGGCCCCGGGCACGTCTCCCAGACACCCACTGATTGTTCAGGGTCCGCCTGGCTCTACTCCTCCCTCTGGGCCCGAGGTGGCTTCCTCACGAGGCACACCACCCTGCACCGGCCAAGGCTGAGGGGACGTGGTCTCCCGGCCCTCCAGGTTCCTGACGGCCTGGAGCCTTCCTGGCCTCCTCGGCCAGCTTTCCTGTTGCTCCTTTGACGGAACTCCTATTACAGGGCCCCTCCCGGGCTCCCTGGCCTTGAGCTGAGCCCTCCCTTCCGGTGTTTATTCTGGCCCTGTGGAGCCGGCAGCCTGCCCGCCGCCCTCCTTCCTTCTCGGGAGACAGATCTCTACTCGCACCCTCTCCCTCCCAGCTCCTCCTCTCCGTCTCTGTCACCGGGCCGGCCTGAGCCCGTCTCTGTCTTTCTTCCCAGCTGGCGTGTATGTATCTCTCCCCGCACCCACCTCTTCTCTCTGGCTCTTTCCTCCCTCCTCCTCTCCTCTCCTCTCCTCTCCTGCTCCTCATCATCTCCCTGGCCTCGCACCCCATGGTCTTTCTCTCTCTCCCTCTCTGCCTTCTCCTCTCCCCCTTCCCTCTCTGCCCCCTCCTCTCCCCTCGGGTCCCGCCCCCGGGAGCGCCCTGTGTCCAAAGCTGTTGACTAACCCACTGCGTCTGTATCTGAATGCTGTCTCCAGGTCAGAGCCGGGGCTTCGCCTTCGTCGAGTTTAGTCACTTGCAGGACGCTACACGATGGATGGAAGCCAATCAGGTTGCTTTGCCGCACTTGAACCCCCTCCCCAAACGAATACTACTTTGTAATCGAGCGCTCCCCATCGCCTGATTCTTATGGACACAGTTCCCTGCCCTGTGGCCCTGTGTCCCACCCCTGTCCCCTCTCTCTCCCCCTTCCTGACCCTCAGTGCCTCCTCTTTCCATCTCTCGCTACCCACTGGGCAGCCCATCCAGTTACCACTAGCTCTGCCCCTCCACCTCTCCCCCGTAGAGCTTTCAGAGAAAAGGCTAGAAGGAAGGGCCTTCCACCGAGGTTCCCACTCCAGGGGGGGGGGGGGCTGTCCTGCTCCTGGGTTATGCAGCGCCAGTACTTCGATCCCCCGTCAGGCATGGCTGGATCCAGCTGCGGGGGGCACGTAGCTGTCGGCACAGTCATTAGCAAGTCCCGTTTCACCAGCTCTCCCCACACGTGAGCTCAGCCATTGGGTTCCCACTCAAGAGGCCAGCATTGCTCTGTGGACAGAAAGCCCCGGTCAGAGGTGTTCCACTTATTCTCCAGGACTCACCTGCCGCCCCATTCCGCCCACTGCCCAGGGGTCCCCGCCAGCCCTCTGCTGGAAGGGAGCCTGCTCCCCCAAGGTGGCACGGGCTGTCCCCCCCCCCCTCCCAGCAGCTTTGGGACCTCGAGTCCCAAGGACCTGCCTGCCCCCCAGAGCCTGGCTCCGTGGTGTGGTTCCGCGGTGTGCGCTCTGCCACCGGCGGGAAGCATGGGGGGGGGGCAGTGCGTTGGAAGAGGGCTTCAGGGCCCCCCTGGACCATCTCTGCCGGTCCCTAGGCTAGTGCCGGACCCAGCCGGCCACGGGAGACAGCCTCCCAGCAGGAACTTCCATCTTCTCAGTATGGCTCTCTCTTTCTCCCTTCTCCAGCACTAGTGCGCGTGTACTCTCTCTCTCTGTCTCTCTCTCTCTGTCCCCTCCTCTCCCTCCTTCCCGCCCCCTCATCCCCAGTGTAGCCTGTGTATGCTGGCCCCGAGTGTGGCCCGGCAGCGTCAGGGCCCGGTGGGGTTCCCCACTGTCAGGCAGGCGTCGCTGCGCCGAGCCCCCGTGCCCGGCTGGCTTGTGTTCACGTGTGCACCCTGACCAGGCAGCGAGCCGCTGCGCCCAGGGCTGGGCGCTCTCCCTCCCTCCTTCCCTTCCTTCTTCCCTCGTCAGTTCTCCGACCTCCCTCCGCTCCCTGTCCCTCATCCATCCAGCTGAAGGGCTCGCTCACTCTCTTCTCCTGTGCTGAAGCGGTGCTGGGGCACCGCTGCCCGCGCCTCACCCGCCTCTGCTTCTTCCTGCAGCACTCACTGAGCATCCTGGGCCAGAAGGTGTCCATGCACTACAGCGACCCCAAGCCCAAGATCAATGAGGACTGGCTGTGCAACAAGGTACAGGGGCAGTGGGCCGCGGCGGCCGCGGGCTCGGCGACATCTCTGTCCCCCCCGGGACCTCTGAGGGCTGGCTCCGGCCAAGTGGCCGCAGTTCCTCACCGCTCACCTACCCACCCACCCTGGGTGCCAGGCTCTGGGTGGGCAGGCATGTTCCTGGTGCCAGGCTCTGCCCTCATGAAGCGTGAGCTCGCTGGAAGTCCCAGCAGATGGTCCGCAAATACTTAGGTAAATGATGGACTAGCGATAGCGGAGGCATCACGTGGTGTGTGAGAGGTGGACCTCTGACCAGACCGGCTGGAGTGACTCCCAGCTCCACCCAGATTCTGATCGCGGCCCCTTCCCTCTCTGCCTCACTCTCCCACCTCCAGCATGCACATAGTAATGGCAGCGGCCCCCAGAGGTGCTGGGGAGGATGGGGATGTGGTGATGAGAAGGTCACACTTGGAACGGCAGCTGGCCCGCAGGTGGCACCCAGCCGTTATTCCGAAGGAAGGCGGAGGGCACTGGAGAGTCTGTGTCAGGTGACCTGCCCTGAAAGGCCACTGTGACAGAGCCGGGGCCACCCGAGACGGAGGGCGCAGGCTGGAGGCTTGGTCCCGAGGAGGAAGCTGAGGTTCCGGAGAGGTGGCACTGAGCCATGGCTCGCTGCTGATGCCAGGGGCCGGAGCCCTAAGCTGCAGCCCCACCCCCTGCCGCTGGGTGGCAGTCCTGAGATCGAAGGGGAGGGCCGAAGCTGAATCCTGCCTAGGAATGGGGCTGGGGCTTTGGTGTTAAAAAGTAGTAATAATGCCAGAAGGCAGGTGCCTGCCGTCTCCAGAGAGGTCGGGACAAAACAACAGTGGAACTCCATCTCCCATACACTTTCGGACATTCCTCAAGACCAGGGAGTTCTCTCCTTTCCTCTTTTCACTTGCCGCATCCTGGTCATCGGGTCCTGTCACTGCCCTTATAGAAATACCTTCCCACCCTGGCTGGTTTGGCTCAGTGGCTACCGTTGGCCTGCAGACTGAAGGGCCCCGGGTTTGATTCCCGTCAAGGGGATGTGCCTCGGTTGCAGGCTCCTCCCACTCTGTCCCTGGTCAGGGCGCATGCAGGAGGCAAGCAAATGATGTGTTTCTCTCACATCGATATTTCTCTGTCTCTCCCTCTCTCTTCCACTTTCCCTAAAAATCAATGGAAAAACATCCTCAGGTGAGGATTAAAAAAAAAAGAAAAGAAATACCCTCCCTGCCATTCCCACTGCCCAGGCCAGTCCTCCCCTCCCCCAGACAGTCCCCATGGCCCCTCTGTTGTGTGCTGGCATCTGCCCCACCTTCTCACCGGCAACATGCCTCCACCGCCCTGACCTTCTCTGCTTAAAACCCCCACAACTGAGCCTCAGTGGCCCCTCCTCCATAACCTGGCATCACCTTTCCTCCCAGCCTCCACTTCTGCCTGTCTCCTCGCCCTCCTTCAGCAGCCATGGCAAACATGGTTTCCCCACTCCAAACCAGACTGTGGGTCTCCTCAGAACAGACATCCCCGCTGAGCTGCCCACGCCGAGGGAGCGGTGCCCCAGGCCCCTGTTGGTGGCCAGACCCACACTCCCCTGCCCCTCTGTGCTGTCGGGGGGCCCTGAGGGCGGAGGCCATATCCTGGGCGTGCAGGGCAGAGCCTGGCACAGAGTGGTGCCCAGCACTGACCCCGGAGCAGAGACGTGTGGCAGTCAGGGGTCCCCAGAGGCAGATTTCTCGGGAGCAGCGGGATCCTAGTCCTTGAGATAAAGAAGGGCTGGGATCTGGCAAGAGAGGGACGCATGGCTTGTAGGGCGGGAAACATCGGAGGTTTCTGAACAGGGAAGCAAGTTCTGGCAAGAGGAGCCTCCTAACGGTACAGTGCAGGGGCCGGTCCTGGGAGTTGGGACCTCGGAGGAGGCGGCAGCTTGCTGGGTGGTAAAGTTGTCCATTCCTGAGCTGGGCTGGCGCCGGGGGCAGATCTGAGACCGTATGAAGGGGACATTCGCAGGCCCGAGAGTGACAGCCAGAGCCCCCTGCCTCCTGATTCCGGAGCCTCCCTTCCCCGGGGCGGGCCGGGGTTCCCCGGGGGACCTATGGATCCAGGTTTGGAGGGCATTATGGGAACCCCCACCCCACCCCCTCTGACGGCCCGGCCTGTGCCTCACAGTGTGGCGTCCAGAACTTCAAACGCCGGGAGAAGTGCTTCAAATGCGGTGTGCCCAAGTCAGGTGAGGCCTCGCACCTCCCCGCGCCCGGGACGCCGGTGGCCGAGGGCAGCGGGTGGCCAGCCCTGAGACCTCGCCCCTGTCACTGCACTGTCTTCCGCCTCCCCTGACAGAGGCCGAGCAGAAGCTGCCCCTGGGTGCCAGGCTGGATCAGCAGACGCTGCCGCTGGGTGGCCGGGAGCTGAGCCAGGGCCTGCTCCCCTTGCCGCAGCCCTACCAGGCGCAGGGCGTGCTGGCCTCCCAGTCCCTGTCCCAGGGCTCCGAGCCAAGCTCCGAGAACGCCAATGACAGTGAGTCAGTGGTTTGTTCCTCCTTACCCCCGCTCTCGGTGTCTGGGCTGGCCTCCCCAAGGCCAGAGAGATGCTGGCCGGGACCGGTCCTCCCAGGATCGCCAGCTGCTGGGGAGATAGGCAGGTGATGGGGGAGAGCGGGGAGGAGCAGGACCCGGCTGGACTGGACATTGGAGTGGGGAGTTCTCGCCAGGTGAGCGGCTGAGCTGGAACTTGGAAGTGACAGGTGGTTTGTCCAGGAGGAAGACTGAGAGGAAGCAGCAGCTGCAGAAATGTGGAGGCTGGAGGAGAGGGAGCCATGGGAGCCGGCAAAGGGGGGGAGGGCTGGGGCAGAGAATCCAGGGCGCCCCCTCATGCCGGGCCCCTTCTCGCAGCCATCATTTTGCGCAACCTGAACCCGCACAGCACCATGGACTCCATCCTGGGGGCCCTGGCACCCTACGCGGTGCTCTCCTCCTCCAACGTTCGCGTCATCAAGGACAAGCAGACGCAGCTGAACCGCGGCTTCGCCTTCATCCAGCTCTCCACCATCGTGGTGAGGGCGGCACAGGGGGGGCCGGGCAGCCAGGGTCCCGGCCCCCGGGTGGGGAGGGGGGACCCTGACCCCAGTCCCCACCGCGGCCCCGCGGCTGGCAATGGGGCACTGGAGCCGGGGACTTCCCCGGGCCTGACCTTCCTGCCCCGCTTCCCCTCCTTCCCCTAGGAGGCAGCTCAGCTGCTGCAGATCCTGCAGGCCCTGCACCCACCGCTCACCATCGATGGCAAGACCATCAACGTTGAGTTTGCAAAGGGTTCTAAGAGGTCAGGGTCCCCCCTGCGTCCCTTCCCAGCTTGTCCCCCAGCCGGGGGCCCCCCATCTCACTCCCAGTGTCTGACATCCTCCTCAGGGACATGGCCTCCAACGAAGGCAGCCGCATCAATGCTGCCTCTGTGGCCAGCACTGCCATTGCTGCAGCCCAGTGGGCCATCTCACAGGTACTCACCCCCCTCCGCCCCGGCACCCGGACGGCGGCCGCCGCGCCCCCTCGCGCCCTCCGCCAAGGAGGCCTGGCTTGCTCATTTGGTTTTCCATGGACCCAAAACCCTCTCTTCGCGGCTGCCGTGGGCTCTAGAGCCTCCCTCCCTCCTCCTCACCTCCCGGGCTTCCGTTTTCCATGCCGCTTGGCTGCTTCCTTCTCCCGCGTGGCCGTCATTGTAGCGCCCTGACTTGTTGGCACCTCTTCTGTACTAAAGAGGAGTTGCTAAGGGGCTAGAGCTGAGACTGGCTAAGGAAGGGGAGGATGGCACCCCCCTGGGTCTTGGTCTGAGGCCCGGCACATGCACCACACCACAGACTACCGGCGCCAGCCCCGGGGGCGCTTGGCATGCACCTGTGCTCCCGTCCTGTCTCCGCCGCCTCCCCGTGCGCTGTGCCCACAGCCCTCTGCCTCACTTGTCCAGAGGGCCGCATGCTTTCTGTCAGCAGACACTAGCCTCTCCTGTGGGCAGCGCTGCTTAGCAGGCTAACCTCCCCCGTCGTGTCGTCCCCCCCCCCACCCCGTCCCTCCCATCTCCCCTCCTTTGCTAATGAGCCCTTCCCACCTGCCCCTCAGGCCTCCCAGGGTGGGGAGGGTGCCTGGGCCACCCCCGAGGACTCATCGGTGGACTACAGCTACTATCAACAGGACGAGGGCTACGGCGGCAGCCAGGGCACAGATTCCTCCCTCTATGCCCATGGCTACCTCAAGGGCGCCAAGGGCCCTGGCATGACTGGAAGCAAAGGGGACGCAGCCGGAGCAGGTGAGCCCCGGCGTGGCCCCACGTGGGGGTGGGCAGGCGTGGGGTCCCGGGCCCCCCTTCACAGGCGCGTGTTCCCCCCTCCCCCCCGTCCCTCCTGCCAGGTGCCGAGGCCTCCCTGGAGCCTGGAGCAGACTCCGTGTCGCTGCAGGCTTTCCCACGCGCCCCTGCTGGTGCCACCCCGGGCATGTACCAGCAGTCGGCAGCTGAGGCCAGCAGCAGCCAGAGCGCTGCTGCCAACAGCCAGGTGAGGGCGCTGGCAGGCGGGGAGGCCCCAAGGGGGTGGGCGCACCCCAGGGGCAGGAGCGGACACTGAGCCCTGCCCCTCTGTCTGGCCCGACGAGCAGTCCTACACCATCATGTCGCCCGCTGTGCTCAAGTCAGAGCTCCAGAGCCCCACGCACGCCAGCTCTGCCCTGCCGCCAGCCACCAGCCCCACCGCCCAGGAGTCCTACAGCCAGTACCGTGAGTAGCCGGCCCGCGCCTGGGGGGGTTCCCAACAAGGCCGGGCGGGGACTGACTCCCCTTTATCACCCCCAGCCGTTCCCGACGTGTCCACCTACCAGTACGACGAGACCTCCGGCTACTACTACGACCCTCAGACTGGCCTCTACTACGACCCCAACTCCCAAGTGAGGGGCAGCGCAGGGAGTGACGGGGTGGGGGGGCTTCGTTTTCCTTCTGGAGCTCCTCCCTCATGCCCCTTCCCCCCCCCCCCCCAGTATTACTACAACGCTCAGAGCCAGCAGTACCTGTACTGGGACGGGGAGCGGCGGACCTACGTGCCCGCCCTGGAGCAGTCCACCGACGGCCATAAGGAGACAGGGGCGCCCTCCAAGGAGGGCAAAGAGAAGAAGGAGAAGCACAAGACCAAGACGGCTCAGCAGGTGAGCCCCCGGGTTCAGTAGTCATGTTCATGTCTTCCATGTTTCCGTCCCGTCACCCCCCGCTGCTGAGGGAGCATGTGGCTCCCAGGCCTTGGCCTAGCTCCGCTCTCTGCTGTGAGACCTTGAGGAGGGGCAGGGCCTCACCCCTCCCCGAGGTGGCCGGTGCCATCCATGTGGGCTTTGTCAGCTCTCCTGGCCCCCAGCGGGCACCCTCACTCCGCTGATGGGAGCGTAGGCCGGTGTTGGCCCGCATACACCTCTGGGCTCACCCCACTCAGTATGGGGGTGTCCATGTCTGCATGTAGATGTCCCAGAGAACTCGGGCCCAGCAGGGGTGGGCAGGAACCAGTCACTGCAGTGTTCTGTGTGAGCAGTTGGCGGGACGCTCACTGTCCATGTGATTGGGAGATATGACAGTCTGAGTGCAGCCCTTAGCAGCAAGAAATTGGCAATCTGGCCAATTCTAAACATGGTGTTTGTATGTGTGTGTGTGCTGGGGGGAGACAGTATAATATGGGATGTGGCAAAAGATCAGATGTAAATAAAAATTATAGACGAGATGCTGAAACCGGTTTGACTCAGTGGACAGAGCGTTGGCCTGTGGATTGAAGGGTCCCGGGTTCGGTTCCGGTCAAGGGGACGTGCCTTGGTTGCGGGCACATCCCCAGTAGGGGGTGTGCAGGAGGTAGCTGGTCGATGATTCTCTCTCATCAATGTTTCTATCTCTCTATCTCTCTCCTTTACTCTCTGTGAAAAAATCAATAAAATGTACTTTTTACTGCAAGCCTCCAGCGTGCTTGGGTCTGGGGTGACCCTATGCATTCCTACAGAGCTTGCGAGAACATTTTGGAATGGTATGAGGCCTTGCCCTGCTATATCCAGAGCAAGGTTGTAGAAATTTCAGACAGTCGCAAAATAAATAAATAAATAAATAAATAAATAAATAAAAAAAATATATTTTAAAAATTCTAGACAAGAGAAAGCCATCCTGTGCATTTTGGAATGGCAAAATGAAAACACACAGGGAACACAGTAATGCGGGTGGCTGTCAGGAAAACGGGGGCACAGCTGGAGAGGGGCTGGGTGACCATCGGTGACAGTATGACAGAAACGGGCCTTCACCCTGCCCCCCTCACCGCCTGAGGGGCAGGGCAGGGCGGGGCCGCCCACTGCAGGGCCAGTGGCCGTGACTGGAGGTGGGTGTCTGAGCGCCTCCCCCCACCCTCACCCCTAGATCGCCAAGGACATGGAGCGCTGGGCCCGCAGCCTCAACAAGCAGAAGGAGAACTTCAAAAACAGCTTCCAGCCCATCAGCTCCCTGCGGGACGACGAGCGGCGGGAGTCAGCCACCGCAGACGCGGGCTACGCCATCCTGGAGAAGAAGGTATGCTGTGGCCGCCCCTCACCCCACCTTACCCCCCTGCCGGTCCCCGTGGCGCCCCTGAACTTGGGTCCTCCCCCCGCAGGGAGCACTCGCCGAGAGGCAGCACACCAGCATGGACCTCCCGAAGCTGGCCAGCGACGACCGCCCAGTGAGTGCCCAGGCCAGGAGGAGGGGTCAGGTGCCCCCGATCCTGCCAGGCCTGACCTCCTGTGCCCCCCTGCCCTTCTGCAGAGCCCACCCCGAGGCTTGGTGGCAGCCTACAGCGGGGAGAGTGATAGCGAGGAGGAGCAGGAGCGCGGGGGCCCGGAGCGGGAGGAGAAGCTCACGGACTGGCAGAAACTGGCCTGCCTGCTCTGCCGGCGCCAGTTCCCCAGCAAGGAGGCGCTCATCCGGCACCAGCAGCTCTCTGGGCTCCACAAGGTGACGGGGGTGGGGGTGGCAGGAAAACCGTGGTCCTGCCCGAGCCCGGCCCGGCCCCGCCGCCTTACTCCTCCTGTCCTCTTGTAGCAAAACCTTGAGATCCACCGGCGGGCGCACCTGTCAGAAAATGAACTAGAAGCACTTGAGAAGAATGACATGGAGGTGAGGTGTGACCCACTCCTAGACCCCGTCCCCTCCGTCCCTTGCAGTGTCCATCCCCTCGGGCAGCTGGTGCTCAGGTTCTCACCGAGAACAGCCCGGCTGCCTTCAGGGATCTCGCATCCAGTCCCCATGAAGCTGTCTCCCGACCCCCCCATGCCGGCTGCACACCCACAATGCACTGCCTGCCTAACGTGGGTCCTCCTCGTGGGACCTCCCCCCCCCCCGATGCCCATATATCCTGCCAGTCTGACCAGCTCCCCCATCCTCTCACACACACAAACTTTCAGCAAATGAAGTACCGGGACCGGGCAGCCGAGCGCAGAGAGAAATACGGCATCCCGGAGCCGCCAGAGCCCAAGAGGAGGAAGTATGGTGGCATGTCTGCCGCCTCCGTGTGAGTGCCCAGGGCCAGGTGGGGGGCCCGGGGCCAACAGGCCAGTCACTCACACCACGCCCCTGTCCCCTGCAGAGACTTTGAGCAGCCCACGCGGGACGGTCTGGGCAGTGACAACATCGGCAGCCGCATGCTCCAGGCCATGGGCTGGAAAGAGGGCAGTGGCCTGGGTCGCAAGAAGCAGGGCATCGTGACACCCATCGAGGCGAGTCTCCTGTGACCCCATCCCCACCCCTCTCTGCTGCAGCCCCGCCCACCCCTCTCTGCTGCAGCCCCGCCTGCCCCCACCCCCAGCGGATGGCAGTAAGCCATCAGGCACCCGCACGCCCGTGCCCTGACCCAGCCTGCCTTCCTCACACAGGCCCAGACACGGGTGCGGGGCTCCGGTCTGGGTGCCCGAGGCAGCTCCTACGGGGTCACCTCCACGGAGTCCTACAAGGAGACATTGCACAAGACAATGGTGACCCGCTTTAACGAGGCCCAGTGAGGACCGCAAGAGTCCTTCCTCCATCCGCTCCTGCCAGCCCGGGACGAGAATGAAATGCCTGCTGTTCTGAGCAGCGCCTGCGCCTGTCCACCAGCCCACTCCCCAGCCAGACAGGCCTTGGCCACGTCAGACTTTGAGTTGGTGACTTGTTGGAAAACTGGGCTAGGATCAACTTCTTTTTGTAATAAAAGCTGAAAAGTCCACAGCTCACGTGTGTCTGTCTCGTGTCCCAGCGCTGTTTGTGGCCCACACAGACAGAGAGAAGGGGCTGAGGTGGGTGGCAATGAGGGCATTCAGGGTCTGTACATGTAACTACTAGCTCAGTGGGGGTGGGGGGCAGGCAGAACATGGGTCTGGCCTGTGCCCCAACCCACAAGATTCTGCACAGCCCTTCACCACTGCCAGGGCCCGAAGGTCCTGCTGTGCCAGGAAATCCAGCATCACCAGGGCACCGTCAGGCTTGACTTCCACCTGGATCAGAGCCAGGATTATGAATACCCCATCCCCTGGCCTTGCCAGCCTGCAGGGGCATTTCGGTAATGGCAAGGCTACACTGTGTTTGGCCCTCTCTGGATCTGGGACTATGCCCTAGGGTATGTAGTGGTCAGCAAACTCATTAGTCAACAGCCAAGCTGAAACCAGTTTGGCTCTGGATAGAGTATCTGCAGACTGAAAGGTCCCAGGTTCGATTCCGGTCAAGGGCATGTACCTTGGTTGCGGGCACATCCCCAGTAGGGGGTATGCAAGAGGCAGCTGATCGATGATTCTCATCGATGTTTCTAACTATCCCTCTCTCTTCCCCTCTGTACAAAATCAAAATGTATTTAAAAACAAAACACAGAGCCAAATAGCAACAGGACAAAGATTGAAATTTCTTTGGAGAGCCACATTTTTTAAACTTAAACTTCCTATGCCACTTCTTCAGCATAGACTCACCCAGGCCGTAGTATTTTGTGGAAGAGCCACACTCCAGGGGCCAAAGAGCTGCGGTTTGCTGACCACGGACCAGTGGTTCTCAACCTTCCTAATGCTTCGACTCTTTAATACAGTTCCTCGTGCTGTAGTGACCTCCAGCCATAAAGCTATTTTCGTTGCTACTTCATAACTAATATCTGTGTCTTCCCATGGGAGAACAGATATTTACATTGCGATTCATTAACAGTAGCAAAATGAGTTATGAAGTACCAACGAAAATAACTATGAGGAACTGTATTAAAGGGTCGAGGCACTAGGAAGAATGAGAACCACCGCCCTAGGGCATCTCCCAGTGGCTATCAGGAGCAATCAGCAGGCCCTGTGCCCTTGAAGGGCTGATGGCCCCAGGGAATGAAGAGGGAAGCATGGCTGCCAATCCCCAGGTCCCAGGAGCCACTCCCAGGGACCATTTGGGTCTCCCCTTAGCCCCATCCTCCTTGGGGCTGTTACCATGGGGCCCAAGGAAGATCTCTCCCATGTGGCTGGCCGCAGTAAATGGCACAGCCACTCTGGGAAACTGGCTGTTTCATACAAAGGTAAGCATATACTTATCCCATGACTTAACAAGTCCATTCTTAGATGTTTACCCCAAATAAATGCAAGCGTCAACAAAAGGACTGTTATATGTGTACTGATAGCAGATGTATCCATAATAGCCCAGGACCGGTAACCCAAACATGCAACAAGAGGAGCGTGGATAAATTACCATCTGTTCATATAATGGGATACAACTTGGTAATAAAAAGGAACAAGATACTGATTACAAACATGACTGACTCTCAAGACACACTAAGGGGGGAAAGAACACAAAAAGAATACAAAGTATATGAGTCCACTCTGGAGTTTTCAATCAGAGGGTGATAGCAGACAGAGTAGCATGGAGGTGGAGAGGGTGTTTCCGGGAAAGGATTGCAAGGCAGTTTTCTGGAATAATGAAAAGGTTCCATATCTTCTTAATCCTGAAGGACGATACGATTGTATTGATTTTAGAGAGAGGGAGAGAGAGAAACATCAATGTGAGGGAAAACCCCCTCACATCGGTTGCCTAGTGCTCGGACCCTCTGCAACCTAGGTATGTGCCCTGACGGGGAGTGGAACCCACAACCTTTTGGTGTGCAGGACGAAGCTCCAACCAACCCAGCATCGGCCATGGCAGGCTCCATGTCTTGACTAGGGTGCTCCAGAGTAAGCTGTCTTACTCTGATCCTCTCATCACTTCTTGGGCTGGCAGCAGCCTTCCCACTGGTTTCTCTGCCTCCACCTTCCTCCTTGGTTTCTTCTCTCGCCACACAGAGCAGCCAGATAGCTTGTATGATGTGACTCCCCAGCTGAAAACCCTCCCGTCTCTGCCTGGCTTACAAAGCCCTCCTTGTTACGGTCTTATCTCACAGTGTCCTCCCTCCCTCCCTCCGTCTTTCCCTCCCTCCCTCCCGCCTCTCCAGCTACAGACTTCAGTTCTTGTCCTCAAACCTTACAGCAACGGGCACCCTCAGGGCTTTGCCCCCTCTCTGGGACCGTTTCCTCGTGTTCCAGGGGCCTCACTTCCCAAATGCCATCTTCTCTGGGAGGCGTCCCGCGACTGCTGTCCATGGGGTCCCAGGGCAGGTCTCTGAGGATAAATCAGACGGGAAATCAGAAGGGAGCGATCTGATGGAAGGGCGCTCCCATGTCCTTTCCCACGCCCCGGGGCACCGCTCCCAGAGTGCCCCAGTTCAGGTTTACTTTTCCAATACTCTGGCGCGGATGCTCACCACGTGCACCCAGCACCAGCTGGGCAGGACTACTAGCCCCAGCATGCTCCGCGCTTCTGGGAAGGACCACAACCCGCAGGGGTGTTCGGGCCTGACGCGGGCCGCCAACGGCGCGGACGCTGAGGCGGACACCCCTCTGAGCTGAGCGGCCGTGGTACCTTCCAACCAAGGCACCCAAGGCCCCGCGCTTTCGAGCTCCGCGCAAACTCTGGCTTCTCTCGGGCGACGGAGGAGCTGCCTTGCTTGGTCTTCCGTTGCCCCGTGGCGCCGGCTCATCTCAGCAGGAAGGCGAGGCTTCCGCTCAGCGCAGGGGGTGAGTGAGAACTCGGTGTCCCTCTCCCCCCAGCCCGTGGACAGCATCTGGGGGAGGAGGTCTCCGTTTCGGGGAACCCCCAATGGGCATGTTTAGAGATTCCGGGCCCCGGGTGGCTTGTCGGGGGGGGGGGGGGCTGTTTTAAGAGGGACCCTGAGCAAGTGGTCTGCGGGGACTCGGGGTGGATGTGGGGGTCTGTTTCAGGGGGTATCCCTGGGAGGCAGGATGTATGTATCCCCCCGAGACAGGCTTATAAGAGGATGTGTGAGACCTTTGGGGTCTATGGCTGAGTACCCTCTCCACGGGGCAGCATTTGGGGCGCTCCCTAAGAGGATAGGGGAAATGGGAGGCCCCTGAAGTCCAGGCTGAGTTTGGGGACGGCTTGCTTCAGGAGGGGTCCGGGTGACTGCGGGAACGTTCGGGACCAACGTGGCATTGTAAGGGTGGCCGTGGCCTTTGTGACCTCTGGTTCTATGCTGCGGTTCCCCCGTGCCTGCGCACCCGGGGCAGAGAGACTGAGACGTCGCGGCCCACAAGTTGGTAGGGAGAGGGGCCCCTTGCCCGGACCGTGGAAGGGGCACTGAAGCCCTGAGCGCTTCCCGAGGGGCCAGGGTTCCCCCGCGCCTTCATTAGCCCGGCTTCATCCATTATTCATGAGGAGGCGGGGCCGTTCGGAAGTCCACTTTTACCTCTTTTGCACCTAGTGCGCTGGAAGTATGACTTGTGAATTGTTCAAGAGGGTTGGATGAGCATGCTGAAGGGTCGTTCCACAGTCTTTCTGGCAAACTAGAGCTCATTCATAAATCGTAAAGGTGAGTAGCTCCCCGAGAGTTTTCTGTAGCTTTAATAGGGGCGTTGTGCATAATTCACGAGGGGGCGTGGCTTACACGGCTTCATCTACATGATCCACTGTTCGCTGTCCCTTGGGGTCTCCAGGATTTAAACCTTCCCTCTAGGGAGCGTTTACAGGGTTTATTCATTTCATTATAAACCCGCTGATCCCAGATTATCAACAGAAGCTCTAGACTCAAATCCCATTGATCCTTGCCAGCTGTGCGATCTTTGGCAGATCTTTCTGTGAGCCTGGAAAATAGGTATAGGCAAAACGATGATCAGATTAGTTGACATGTAGTTAGCGCTTTATTAGCCCATGAATCCCCACAGCAGTCCTAGGAGGTAGCTTATGATTATCCCATTTAATAGACGAAGAAACTGGGACACCAGGAGGGTTTAAGCCCTTTCTGCATATTTACTCATTGAAACTCCGTGACAAGGTAAGTGACTCTTCTCATTCTGTGGGTGGGGAAACAGTGGCCCAGGTAAGTGAACTCTCTGGACCCAGGCCACACAGCCAGTCATCCATGGGTAGGTATGCTTTTTGTGAGGGTTTAAGAACTCTAAGGAGGTTACCTTTGAGCTTCGACCTGAAGGACAAGAAGGAATCGATTTCCTGATCGGTGGTACAATGCATGGAAAGGAAACACCACAGGAGCCACCGTATGTATTCACGGGATCTGCTGTTATTGGACAGTGTTGGGTGCTTATTGTGTGCCCAGGGTTTACCTCTGATGATCTGGACATTGGTGGCCTTAGCATTCCAGTGCCCTTCTGGGAGGGACATATGACTTTTGTACTAATATATAGTATTTACGTTTTGATCACACACATTGCCTTTACGAGGTGAGTACTATCCCCATTTTACAGCTGTGGAAACTGAGGCACTTGTCAAAAGCATAAGTGAGTATGGATTTGGTTGGACCCAGGTATCCCTGATTCATGTGCAGTCAATCAGGGGTGGGGAGGAGGCAAGTACCTTTCCCTTATGGCTCCGTATCCTCGTATCCTCTGCCTTTCATTATTCATGAGCAGGAAGGAGTGGTTTTTGCCATGCTGGAGTATCCTAATCCCCGCTTGCTGGGCAGCGCTGTCCATCCAGCCTCATGCATAATTCAGGATAAGTG